TGGAGACAATTAATAATGCATTGGGTTTTTTAAATGCCCCCACAGGAGCTGAGCCTGCAAACAGTGCCCTTGATGATGAGCAGCCACGGTGCCACAACGCTGGGCTCCATGCCCAGAACACCAGGCAGAAATAAATAAACCAGAGCACAGGCTCAGGTTAGAGCCCCAGATAGAGGGTGCAGAGACCCTCACTCAGGCAGCAGGCCAGGTCCCGGCCACCAGCGAGGCAGCAGAGAGAGGCCTGGATGCCAGCTGCCTGTGCCCCCGTTCTACCGCTTGCTAGCCCAGGCCAACATGGATAGGCCCTTTCCATAGAGCCACCTCCTCTCCCCCTCCCTGGGATGCCCATCTCCCCATGCTGTGCCCAGCGCTACTCCCCTGGGTCACCTGTCTCGTTTTCTCCAAAGGGTTTCCTTTGGCCGATTGTGTCACTGTGGATTTGCTTACTTGCCTATTTTTCTATCTGTTTAGTGGTCAGAGGTTGGCCCTGGAGCCAGACTGTCTGGGTTCAAATCCCAATTTCAGTGAAGTTGGGTATCAGTCGGTTTGTGCCTCAGTTTCCTCATCTTGTCAGAGATTGTCCTTGTACCCTTTGGATACCCTGCAATGCCACCTCTCCTTCCAGCCTTCTCAAGTCCTCCAGGCCCAGGGTACTGTCAGCTCCTTCCAGACCTTGCCCCATCACCCTCCTCCCTGGTGCTCAGACCTGCCAGGCCCACACTCACCTCAGGGCCTTGGCTTTGTTATTCCTCCCCGGACACCTGCAGGAAGAGCTCCGTGCCGAACTGTCACCCCTTGAGGCTGACCTTGACCAGCCCTGCTCACACTGAGGCCACCAACCCTTCCCTCCAGCACCCTCAGGCCCCTAAGTTGCTCTGCTTTGGAACAAGAACACAGCCGTGTCCAGGAGGAGGGGCCACCTCTTCCTGTGTATCTCCCATAAGAGCAAGGAGGTAATTTCCAGAAACCCTACAGACTTTTCCTCTCCTGTCATTGACCAGAAGTGTGTGATCCCTGAGCCACTTTGAGGCAAAAAGACTGGAACAGCCAGGCTAAGCCCAAACCCGAGGGTGGGAGGTACAGGAGGAGAATCAGGGTTCTGCTGGGGAGAAGGGGAAGGGTGTGATGGGCAGCCAAGGGGTGTCTGTCCCAGCTCTGCTTGGGTACCTCATTCAGTGCCCGCACCAGCCTGGGGGTGAGGGGTTCTGTTGCTTCTCGAAACTTGCAGTGGACGGAATGGATACAAAATCTGACAGACTGAATGACCTGCCCAAGTCAGAGCAGGAGTCCTGGTTCAAAGCCAGCGTGACAACCACTGCACTGAATGGGGTAGCTGGTCTCCCTGGGAGCAGGGCAGCCAGGTGAGGAGCCATGGATGACCCAGCATGGGCCAGAAGTGAGGGAAAAGCAGTAGGCAGAAGAGGAGCAAGGAGGGGGCCCGCTGCTGGCCCAGTCCAGGTTAGGGCCTGAGCCCAGGCAGAGAGAGCTCTTAGCGAGGCTGAGGAGGCCAGGGCACAGAGGCCAGGCCAGCTGTTGATGCTTCCAGCCCAGGGGCCATGTTTTGAGCAACCCAGTAGGGGTCAGATGGCTTCAAAAAGAGAGACGAAAGCACTTGAATCGCTTTATGAAGCAATCCGTTAGTTAGAATCACAACAATGAAAAAGAGGTCGCATCCTCTGGTACTTTAGCATTCCAGGCAGGGTGGCATCTGTGGGTGAGAGGCGCACATGAGCCACATCCAGGGCACAGGTGATCACACTGGATCACCAGGGCCATCCGATGAGTCCAGGTGTCTCAGCATGGTCAGTAGTCGGTTCTGCAGAGCTTTGGTCTGAGGAATCCCAAGAGCACTATGCATCTCAAGCGGTGGTCTGAGACAGATCACGAAGGTATTGCTGCCTGGGTTTATATACAGTTTCTGAAGGTATGTACTGCCGGGTATCAGAGTCTTGCCCTCAGGTGTGTTAGCTGGAGTTGGCTTGGGACATTCACTGTGTTTTGACAGAGGCGCTTGGTGATGACGTTTCAAGATGGAGTTACTTATGCTGAAGTCCATTACTTATACTCATAACAGGCAGCCAGGCTGGGGTGTAGCACGGTCCTGGTGGGCATCTGGGAGATGGTGCCCATGGGCAGTGGCTGAGAAGAGACTGAGGGCAGAGAGGAGATTTGGGGGCCACTCATACAGCAGTGAGGGTAGAACCCAGCCCTGCCCTTGTAGTCTGGGCCACTCTGGAGACCAGAGGCAGTCCTGGTGGCACACTGGGTCCATCTTCCGGCTGAGCCCTGACCAAGGCTTTGTGTTTGTGAACTGAGCCATGTGGTGAGTGAAGGCTCAGGGTGCTGAGCTGTGGTGCCCAACTCTACCCAGCTGCCTGGAGCAGGAGGGGTTCCTGGATGGGTGGGAGCAGGGGGCTTCCCAGAGGGCTGGAAGAGGGGTGGTGGGCAGGAGGCAGATGGCCCCAAGGTGGGCCAGGCTCGGCGTCACCTGCGTGATACCTGGAGGCCGGGCCCCCACGTAGGCTGCAGCATTCACAGACTGCCTTCCCCTACAGAGCAGAGAAGGGGTGCCCCTTGTTTCTGGGGAAGGCAGCCCCCAGGTAGCCCAGGGACAGCCCCTCCATGAAGCTGGGCCATGTCCTGTCCCTTTGGTAAGTGTGGGCAAGGGAGCTGTGTCTGCCATCTTCAGTATGGGTAGCTTGTGGCTTCTGACTGCAGGAGCCCAGGATTTGAGGAAATATTTATGGAAAAGGGAGGACCCAGAAGGCTGAGTCAGAATCTCAACAGCAGAGAAGAGGTGAGAGGGCCACCTGAGGCCCAAGGGGTGTCTGCCCCAGCTCTCTGCTTGGGCACTTCATTTAGTAGGCTTCCTGCAGTAGGAAGGCACCAGCTACCCATCCCAGGCAACCCCAAGGCCATCTCTTACTTCTCTCTAGAAATGGGGGCTGATCGCAGAGGCTGGCACAAGCACCAAGGTACCAGGTTTGTGGTTCTCAAGTCCGGCTCATGCACTGTGGTACCTCTGGGGTAAGCAGCAAGTGCCCACGCAGCCCCACACCCACACTGGCCCGGAGCCCTGTGGGAGGTGGACGCCCTGGTACAGGCCTCCCCGTGGATGCCCTGTGTCTGTGAATGGAGAGCGGCAGCCCAAGAGTCAGTCCCTTGTGTCCAGAGACAACGCGGCTCTGTGTAGAGAGGGATGTGAGAGGACAGAGGTGATCGCCCCACACCCCTTCTTTAGTGGACACTGGGTCTGTGTCACACAGCCCAGAAGGGCCAGGGCTTGGACACCAAGTCAGGGACAAGGTTATCAGCCATGAAGGAACCCCTGAGAAGTGCGTCCTGTGCAGTGCTCCGGGACAGGACATGATGCAGGGCTGGGGCCTTGAGGGCCTGCATCTGGTCCCTGGCCAGCCCTGGGAAGGCTCCTGCCACCTTGCTCCAGGCCTGAGTTTCCTCCTTTGCGCAAAGGTTTATGAAATGGACCTAGCACCCCAGCCTTAGCTCTCAGTTCCCCGCATGAAACCAGGAAGGGTCTCAGTGAGCTGCTGGAGCAGGGACAAGCATGCTCTTCAACACTGAGGCGTTTAGTCCTCTTTCACAAACGCCAAGTCCCTGTCCTTAGACACTCTCCCTAAATAAGCAGGACAGTTTCCTAAAACTTTTCTCCAGGGTGGATGGGAGAGAGAAGTACAGAGGGTACAGAAGTACAGAGAGGGACGCCATACATCCTAAAGACATTAAGCAGGGCTGCATGGCTCCTGTCACCTCTGCTTAGTGATGCACAAAGCCCATACTTATGCCACAATATGGAAACAACTCCAGGCCCAGTGCAGCCTCTGCCTTCAGTTTCCCATAGGAAAGGCCAGGCTTGCCTTGTGTCTGGGAAGCAGGCTGGTAGACATCAGCGCCTGGAAGGAGACAGGGATGGATCTCTCCACGTCTGTCACCTGAATCATCCCTGGTTGTGAGCTGGTCTGGGCTGTTGAACTAGCCGGATCCTGCAGGCCAGGCAGCCCCTCCTCACCTGAGCATCTTTAAGGCCAATTAAGCCCCGGGGAACTCTTGGGAAGCCACTCAGGCAGCCTGGGAATGAGTCACCAAAGACTTTGAAAGGAAGGAGAGATGTCTAATGATGTCCCAGAGGCCCAGGGTGTCCCAGCAGTGCTTGGAACTCAGGCTGTGCTCAAGAAGCTGGGCACCACGTGAGCCTGGTGACATCTTGTGGTGGCCATTCAGAGGTTGAGAGGCCGGCCATGGATAAAGCCTCTGACTCAAGGCAGGAAAGTGATTTCACAACAAACGACATGGCCATCTCTCCCTTCTTCTAGAACCAGACTGTGTTTCACTTTCTGTTGCAAAAGGAGCTGTTTTCAGAGCCTTTGCTATTCTTTCCTTCCTTTACCCCTCACTCAGTGCCCTCCCGTCAGTCACACATCTGAGTACGGCTTCTCTACAACAGCTGGCTCCAAATATATTAATACATGTCACACTGACTCAGTACTGTCACAGACCCCAGCTCTGTGACCTGTTTCCCCACTGCAAAGAGGGGACTGCAATTGGGCCTTGCACCGTGGTGCCTTGAAGCCATTGCTGGGGAAGGGATGGTTGCTCCGGTGGACTCAGCCTCATGGTCTCATTTGATAACTGCCAGACCCCATGAGGAGCTCAGGGAAAACATTCATCACCAAGGGCTCCCCTGACCGCAGTTCTTCTGTGGCCTTGGCCCTGCCCAAATCTCCTAGACCTCTTTGGTCTCAGACTCCTGGAGTGCAAACCTCCTCCCCATGTACACACACCTGCTTCTTCTCTAGGCACCTGTGGGACATCTGGATCTCTCCTCCATGGCACTTTCAGTGTATGGTCACATGCCATTGGTGGTTAGATATGGTGTGCTGGGGCTCCCCCGTCTCAGAGGTCCTAGAAGGGAGGGGACACATCTGTCCTGTTCACTCTATTCCCACAGCACTACTGTAGTACAGCACTACTCTCTCAAGGAACCAAGCCGGCCACTGGTAGGACACACCTCACTTGTGTCTTGCCTTGTGGGGGTCACTATCTTTGTTGCCTGATGTCTGCTGTTTAGAGAACCAGTGTCTCATATATTCAGTAGGTTTGTTACCAATGCGTTTCCCAACTGAACAGACACAGCTTCTCGGGTTAAGAGGAACCGAGCCTGGGTCCTTCTAGGCCACTCTTCCTGCCCGCCGGTCCCATGGTCTGTGCAGGCATCAGGAGTGTTTATGGAGCACAGCCGACAGCCTCACGGAGTCTGGAGGAGAGAGCGCTGTGACCCCAGCAGCGTCAAGACGCTCCTGCCTTCCTGTCATGTTCAGAGGGAGTGACAGAGAGCTCAGACAGCCTCCTTGCTGGCACGTGACACTCTCCGACTGTCTCCACCTCCCCTGTCTGGCCATCTGCCCTCACCAGGCCTCACCCTCATTCCTAATCCATCTTAGCACCCAGGAAACCTCTCTCAGCCACAAGTGGCTTCGCCTTGCATATTAGTGATTCGAGCATGGCTTTTCTTTTGGAGACTCCTGGCTCCTTGAGCAAGGTGATCAGATCTTAGTCCACTTTCTAATGACCCATAGGGCAGCTGGTGCGGGCTTGGTAAAGGCACGGTTTACGTCTGATTTATCTTTGTACTCCCAGCTCCTAGCACAGTGCTGGGTACTGAGTGTGCGCTGCATGTATCTGGTGGATGAATGAACGAATGAATGAATGAGCACCTTCAGGATTTGTCTTCTCAAATATGAACCAGCAGAATGGCCACATGATAAGCTATCTTGTCCTCTCTGGGGTGAGATACTAGCAAGGGGCAGGCCTAGCAGGCAGCCCAAAGGTTGGGGTCCTCACCCTGTCCTCTGGGAAAGTTGCTTCTTCATCTTGAGCCTCAGTATTTATTCTCTTCTGAAATGACACCTCCCCAGGCTTCCTGCAGCTCCGGCATTCTCTAATTGACTCAAGCAAGGATAAATAAGGACATAGCCTTTGAACACAACAGCTGGCTTCCTGAGCAAAATCCAAGACCTATGCCTCGACTGGGTTTCACAAATGCCTCCCCCTTTCCCTATCCATTAGCATCTCTGCCTGGGGTTGTTTCCTTCTGTGCACACAGTGATCAGTGTCCTGCTGAATATCAGAGGGGGACCCTAGGCAGAGGACACTCTCAACCAGGGCTCCCTGCTTTCAGGATCAACTGTGTTTGGAAAAGTGATCACGAAAAGAAAATTCCCGTGCCGTTAATAGAAATTGTAAGGCAAAGAGGCACTGAAATCTAGCACCAAATTCCAGGTAGATGCAATTTCCAAACAAGGATCCTATTGGCACGTTTGTTCAAAGGACAGTTCTACCTTATGTGGAAATAACTAGTTCACTGGCATTAGCATCCATAGCTTCGGGGATTGCTCATTGTGCTGACCAAAGGTAGCCCCCCACCCCCTAGGTCCAAGAGCTCCTGACCCGAGGTGCAGCCCCTGGCTATGATCACAAATGGGTAGATTTATTCCCCAGCCTTGGGATGTTGGGGAACCTTCCTGGGAAAGGCAAGGCCCTGGGGACTTGCCCAGATGTATTACAGCCCAAGGGAGAGTCACAGAGGCTGAAACTGCTTCCTTGGCAGTGAAAATAAGGGGCAAAGCTTTGGGTGTGGGGCCGATGTAGAGGGAACAGCCTCCAATGATCCACTTGCATTTCTGAGTCCCAGAGCGGCTGCTGCTGTAGGAAGGTACAGCCTGGATCTGTGCTGAGTCACCCCAGGAAGACACAGGCAAAGCAGGGACACCCCCGACCTGAGGGATTAAGGGAGCTCTGGCTTTGATATTTCACCAAAAAATCATTGAACAAGTTCATCACGGGGGAAATGCGAATCCTTTTGGCCCTCTTTCCTGTTATTTTATAGTTTATCCCTATTTTCAAGTCTGTGCTCTGCATCTTTTAGGTGTTGGTTGGGCTTGCAGAGCAGCCCTTGGTGTCCCTGTCCCAGCCAATTCACAGGAAGCCTTGCTGATTCTGCTCAGGCTCTGTGAGGATCGGAGGTCCAACCCTGGGGACCTCACATTTGTTAATGAGGTTTTAGCACCTGTCCCCTGGGGAGCGCATAATGCTTTCTGGATCACTTAATCCAGCTGCCCTGCCGTTAATTCAGCTACAAATGATAACCACTCCCTTCTCTCCATCTCCTTTCTGTCTTTCTTTGTTCTGCACGGGAGGGCACAAAAGTGCAAGCACTTGGGAAAAGCACTGGGCTTGTTCTTACACTGTCAATCACACTCACACCACAGGATCCAGCAATCCTGCTCCTAGCATTTATCCAAGAGAAATGTGAAAACGTGGTGCATGCACATGTTTACTTTCACAGTAGTCAGAGACCCGGAAAGAGCCTAAGGGTCCAACAGGTGAGTGGATAAACAAATCGTGGCACACACATCAGGGGAAACTATTCAGGGATAACAAGAAAGGAACTTCAGAGAATGCAACAAAGCGCTATGCTAAATAAAGGCAGCAGAAAAATAGTAAAAAGCACCTGGCACGATTCCACTTATGTGAATGTCGGGAACAAGCAAACCTAATGATTTTAGAGCTCAATAGTGGCTGGCCCCAGGGTGGGGACAGGCTAGAGAGAGGCCCAGGGGTGTCTGTCTGGGGGGGCTGGAAAGGTTCTGTCATGATGGAGGTGGCTCTCGCTGGTGTCTGCCTTTGTCAAAGTGGTCAGATGGTGCAGTTAGGTGGAACTCACACCTGGGTGAGAACAATGGGAAGGTCAGCCACCTGTTCCCCACCGTGACTGCAGCCCTCAAGGTGCCCATGACTAAGCCCAGAGAGTCTGGGCTGTAATTTTGATTCTCTTGCATATATCACTACCATCTTGAAGACCTGCCTTACTAAAGCTAGTTGTACTGTCTGTCTGTCCATCCCTTCTCTCCCTTACCATGTTCCCTCCCTCCTCCTTTTACCTCTTTCTCTTCCCTCCCTTTCTCCCTCCCTCTCCTCTCCCATTCCTTTTGCAGTTCTCTGCACTTCTTTCCAGTTGTATCTGGGTCTTCTCAGTATTTCGGGACGAGGTTGTGGGGTGTGTTTTCTTTTCTCCAAGGGATGAGAATCAGCCTCCAATTTGCTTGTGCTTTTGGTGAACCCCAACACTGCCCATGCCAGGCAGGTTCACCCCAAACACTCCATGGAATCACATAAGGATGGGAGGGCCTTGTAATAAACACAGAGTGCTCCCGGTTCTGGCTGCCCCCATGCAGGCAGAGCTAGCTGCAGGTACCCCTGCCCGGGCCAAACCCCAGAGAGCCAGCCTCCTGCAAGAAACCAACACCCGACAGGCCTGCTTTTCTCTCCTCCCTCCCCCATAGTACCCTCTGAGACTGGCTCCCCGCCCCCCACCTGCAGAGGAACCAGATTTAATGCCTCAACTGAGAGAATGAGATGTTCTGTTATTTTTCATGGGAAATTAAACCTGACCCTGCTGTCAGTTAACTCATGCCAAGGGAGGATGGATGGCCATGCGCCGTGCTTAACCCCTGCTCTGCGCAGCCCAGGCCTGGATGGAGGGCAGCCTGGCGGGGGGCCAGCCATGATGTCATCTGCTTCCGGGTGGGGGCAGGGATGGCAGGAAAGGTCAGAGGGCCTCCATCTGGGGGGTGATGGCAACCCTGTCCTCTGGCCCTGGCTAAACCAGCTCGTTCAGGGAGACTCAGGCTGTTCCTGTCTCTTCCAGCTCCCAACTCTACCTCGTGCCCTGCTGAGGAAAGCTGGTGGTCAGGGCTGGTGATCGTCATTGCCGTATGTTGTGCCTCTCTGGTGTTTCTGACTGTCCTTGTCATCATTTGCTACAAAGCCATAAAAAGGTGAGTGCCCATCCACTGTCCAGAGGGCTCCTCTGCCACCCCCATCACTTTTTAAGTTAGAAAGATTGGTGAGTGTATAAGGAGCAGAAGGAAGCCCAGCCTTAGTGAGAGCCTGTCTCAAAAATAAAAAGTAAAAAAGGGCTGAGGGCATCACTCAGTGCAAAAGCCCTGGCTTCCATGAAAAACCGAAAAAAAAAAAAAAAAAGGCTGTAAAAGCAGAATGAACTCCTATTGTGATGTTTAAAAATTACCAACATTTTGCTATACTTGCACATCTGTTTCCTCCTTTTTCTTTTATTTTTCTCATTGCTAGAATATTTAAAAATTGATCTCAGACACAAACTGCCAGTCATTTTAAAGAAATTTCATTATACGAGGATTTGATGAACATCAATTCTGTATGAGGCCAGTGTAATACCAAAATTTTGGAAAACATCAAAGGGTAATAGGAATTGTTTTTATAATATTCCTAAGAAAGTTTTTTTTAAATTCCCCAAGGTGTGAAATTAGAGGGTCCACATAAGAAATAATTATAATAATTATTATTGTAACACCTAAAATATTTTTCTCTTTTAATCATCTATTCTGTGGGATTTCATTTTAGTAATTCAAAAGCACAAAGAGTAACATGTCAAGTTAAAAATATTAAAACAAGGCTCGGGCACACAGGATGAAGGGCCATGCAAACCCACCAGACTGGCTTCTTCTGGAGACCAGGAGGAAGTGGCAGGACACGGGCAGGACCAGGGGTGCAGCTGCACACGGGATGGGCCATGCCCTGGGCATCTGCCCCAGTCCAAGCTGAGAACCCTTCTTACCTTGAATGCTCAGGCTTCAGGGGAATCTCCAAAAATGACAATAAACAACAAGAGGAGATCTGTGTGGTCCCAAAATTCCTCTTCAAGCCCTGGGCTCACCTCCTTATCCATAGTCGCAGCTCATCTTCACTCTGTCTTTTCAATCAGCACCAGTTTGCCAGTGAGGAAACTGAAGCACTAAGGAGTTAGGGGACTGCCCAGAACAGAACAACCAGGAAGCAGTGGAAGCAGAATTTGAACACAGAACCATGTGGCCCCAGAGCCCAGCCCTGACTTCAGTACCATTTTGCACACTGCAGTGCTAACAAGTTCATTTCCAGTGCTGGGCTGGGAAGAGACCCTGATTTTCCTCTCTGTCCTTCCTCAGGGGTGCAGAAGAGGGGCCCTGGTGGTGTGGTCAGGGCTTCTGCCCCTCTCTGTGGCCGGAAGGACAGAGAGAAAGGTTCTGAGACCCTGTAACTCCAGCCAGGGGCCTGGCCTGGGAAAACAAGGTAGATGTGTTGGAGCCTCCCTAGGGACAAGGCTGGTCCTCTTCCCATGTTTTGTGGGCATCTGGTGTGTGCCAGGCTCCGTGGGCACAGAGAGAGTAAGAGCCAGGCTGTGCCCACAGGCTGCTCAGGTAACCCCGGAGGAGGGTCAGTGGTGAACCCCTGAGGCCGGAGGTGGTTGGGTTGGCAGCATGCTGTAACGCCCAGAGGAGTCCAGGTGAATTCTCATCCGGTGACACAGCATGTGGGCTGAGAGCCTGCGGGAGCTGAGGGAGGATTTTTCAGAATGCAGGGAGGCATTTCAGACAGCAGGCCACTGTGTCCAGGGCCCTAGGAAGCCCCTGCCACACGGGAGCCTGAGCCTGACAGGGAGGTCCTTGGCACCTGCAGGTGTCCGCCTGCTGCTGGGCGCCAGGAGCCACTGAGGAGGAGCGCACTACCAGGGCACGGGCTGCCAGTTCCCCCTTCCCCTGGGAAATGCTCAGCATCATCTTTTTAACAGCTACAAAAGACACACTGAGTCACTTCTGCCGCCCTCCGTGCCCCAAACCTCTCCTGAAGAAATGTGTTACCTGCTTCAGCTGGAGAAGGGAAAGGGGAACTCCACACAGGAGGAGATGGAACTCAAAGTAACACCGCCCTAGAGCAGGGGTGGGCGGGGCTCTGGGGAGTGGGCGGGGCTCCCTCCGGTGTTTGGGCGGGTCCAAGGAGCAAAGGAGCCTGGAGACCCCGAGGTCCAGCAGCAGAAGGGGCGGTAAGCACACAGGCAAGGGTAGGAAATGGTACCATGGGAACACAGCGAGAGCCAAAGGAGAGGGGCTGCTCATCAGGGGCTCCCTGCCCTCACCATGTGCTTTTCCAGAGGGTGACCCTGGTACAGCGAATGGAAGGACATACGATGACAGGAAGGAGCCACGTTCCCTCGAGCGGGGGCAGAAATGGAGCCTGTTGCTGCCAGGCCCTGCGCGCGGGGGGGGGGGGTAACCTGGTCCCTGGGGACCACTCAGGACCAGCTGGCAAGCAGAGCCCCTCCCAGCGCCGAGCTGGGCTGCAGCAGTCTGCCGTCCCAGGTAGAGGTAGTACTGTGCCAGCCAGCAGCTAGGCTGTGCTTCTCCCCAGCTAGTCTGCTTTCTCTCCAGAGTAAACGGAGGATTTCTTGTTCCAGGCCATTGTTTTTTTCGTCAATGATTTGTCTGAAACATGCCTTTTTCTCAGGGAAACAAAAGCATCTTGTGTCACTGTAAAAACCATTAAAAGAAAAATGTGGTAGATCCCACTTTTCTTCCTTTTCTTCCATTCTCTCTCTCTCTCTCTCTCTCTCTCTCTCTCTCCTTCTTTCCTTCCTTCTTTTCCTTTTCACACAGCCTCCAGTCCTGGGGGAAGGTTTCCAAGCTAAGTCTTTCTGAATGGCTCCAATGCAGCCTTCTAGAGCCAGGTTCCTGGAGGATGTTGTAGGATGGGCTGATGTAGGAAGGTGATTCTAGTGGTGCAAGGTGTCACCTGGGGGTGTCAGCCAGGGGGCACAGGAGCATCCCCAAGCGCCCCCACTTTTATGTCCAGGAGAGCCACAGTGTCTGGCTGAAGGAGGCTGGATCTCAGCAGGAGGTGGGCTCTGATTGGCTTTTAGATGCAGATTCAATGAGGCAACCCTCCATCCTGGGATTCAGTAAATGTCCCAGACCCCAGCTCTGTGCAGGCAATGCAGTGCTCAGGGGGCTCCACAGCCCAGAGGAGGGGGAGCACCTTGCACAGGCCCGGGCCAGGAAGTTTCTTAGAAGCAGGTGCATTAGCCAGGCCAAGGAATGGAGCAGGGTGTCACTCGAATGCTCCAAGTCCTGTCAGCTGCTCTGACCTCCTGGCCATGGGGAACCATGCAGTTTGCCTTCTGGTGGCCTCATTGCCCCTGAACTGTATGAACAAGCATCTTTTCCAGTAGCCACAGGATGAGCAGGTGTCAGGCCCCCCAAGTTCTGTTCCCAGCCCGGCCGGGCTCAGAAGGTAGCCTTTTCCATGTGAACAGCTCAGTGTTCCCTCTCTGGGAAATGAGGTCCCCAGGATCATTCTGAGGCCCCACTTGGTCATTCCCCCCTCAAATGTATGGACATCGACCACAAGGCTACCAAGCCAGGGGCCAGGTGCCATGCTGGGCCTTGGGCCATATGTGAGTACCACAGGCACAGGCCCTGCCCACACTGCACTGCCCTCTGGAGGAGAAAGTGGGCATTTATCAGACCATACTGCCCAAAGAACCATCTTCCACTCAGAGGAGCATTTGAAGTGTAGAGGAGACCCTTGGTCCAGTGCAGGAAAGGAAACTGAAACTGAAACAAAGGGAAATCACTGAGTTACCAAGATAAAGCTCCAAGGTGCCCTCTGCCAGGGAGGCAGGTGAGGACCCAGGCCTGGCATGGGGAAGGAGCCCCACCAGCTGAGGGATCTCAGAGGGGGCCATGCTCCTGGGGTGGCCCTGTGGCTCCTCTGACCGTCACAGCTTTCACTCTGAGAAGAGATCTGGGCTGAGGAGAGATGACAGACATTCACTCTACCACCCTCCCTCCATGGAACCATCCCTACCCTAGGCACAGGGACAGCATTTCCCCTCTGTTGGCCATCGATGGCCCGGGTCCTTTCCCTGCTGCTGTCCACTTGCCATTAAGCCACTGGGCAGCCATTTCCTTTTCACTGACAGGCTCTTGCGGGAAGACCAATAAATGCCTGCAGAACAGTCGGGCTGGGCCTGCAGACTGAATTGCAGAGGAAAAGCAAGTCTCTTTCCCGGCGTGGGTGTGGCTTGAGTGTGCCTGCGCCTGAGCCCTGGAGCTCCGGCCAAGCTCTGAAGCTCGTCCACATCTGTGGTTGAGCCACTTCCTGTGGAAGGGCCTCTTTGGAATGCTCGTCTCTTCGATGGCTCCACGGGAGATCCATTGACTGGCACAGGGCTGCTCGGGAAGCCAGGTGGTCCACAGATAGTTATTGGGCACCTTCTGTGTGCTGGGGTCTAGGCTAGGCCCCAGGGAGGCAGAGGTGAACCATTTCATGCTAGCAGAATAATCAGATTAAGCACACACATCAGCAAATTAGAAAATGGGGGTGATTTAAAAGACTATTTGTGCTAGGAAAACAAAACGTGAATGAGAGGGGGAGGAAGAGAGGGGCTGCTGCCCCTCCCCACAGTCACGTGTGTCATGCAAGCCTCAGGAGAAAGCAGAATGATTGGGGAGTATGGGGAGCCTCCGCACACACACACTCACCGCCACCTTTTAATGTAACCCTCACTTTTACTGGAGTAATACATGCGCAGTTTTAAAATGTCAAATTACTACAGGCTGTGAAGAAAAACTGCTGAGGAGGGCGTAGCTCAGTGGGAGTCTATGGTATGTAAGGTCCGGGGCTCAAATGTCCAGCAACACAGAAAAAGAAGAGCCCTCAATTTTCCTCCTCTCCCCCGACCCTGCCCAGTCTCATTTTTGAGGGGCAACTGCTTTTCATCGCTAGCCATCGCCCCATGTTTCTCCCCATTGTCTTAAGTGTGTGTATCAGCGGCTTGGATATTCTTCCACTGTTAAATATTATCTGTTGATCGCCCACTACGGAAGATCCAGGATCAGCACCCCTCACCCGCAAACATGCAAAACACTGCCTCCTCCTCCGACCCATCCTCCACCCAGGCTGGGGTCCAGGGACTTCAATATTTGCCTTCATGTGACAATATAAATATTGCTCTCGGCTGAGCCATTTGTATACTGTGGTTTGTTTCCTTTCGTGGTGTTCACAATAAGGTCAAGTACATCCGTTGCACTTTTGTCTGGAGACTTCATGCTCCTCTCTAGGGGAACTGGTGGCAACCAGAGCCTGTTGCACAGCTTTTAAGCTACTGTTGTCCCCTCCAGGAGCCTTCCGGGCTGCCTCGTCCCAACTGGGCTGCCATCTGGCCACCCTCAGCATCCTCTCCCGCCCTGCTCCAGGGCTGCATCTCTTCAGCTTGATTCCTTCATGAACTCACTTCAAGATCTTCCCTGAATGGTAGTTTCAATAGAAAATTCATCAGTGGGATGAATTTGGTTTTCAGACTTTACATTCTTCTGGGGGGCTCTGGGGTGGCCCAGATGAGGGTTCGTCCTTACAGGACTGTGGCTTGCAGAGAAGACTTGGTTACCGGGGCACTGAGATATCAAGGAGGGGTGGAGATGCGCTTCCTGTGGAGTGTGAGCCCCAAGGTTGTGGGGCCGCTGTTTCACAGATGAGGAGACTGCAGGTCTCCGCAAGTTTGCACTCTGCTTTCTGCTGTGCTTAGTGTGACACTGGCGTCCGCCTCCCGCGTGCCCGAGCATGCGCATGAGCAGTTGTGCACACACGTGAGATCACAGGCTGCCTCTGGCCCTCCTCTCCCAACTCGGCCTGGCATAGTCCCTGGCCTGTGATGACTCCTCAGTGACTCTCTGGGGTGTGAACGGAGGCTTGTTTACATGGACTTGCCAGAGCCCACCTTTTAATTTGACAAATGCTATTTAGAATTGCAGAAGACTCATTTTCTCTCTCTCTCTCTCTGTCTGGGTGAGTGAAGAAGAATCTGGCTTTGGAGCGGCTAACATGTGCCCAGTTTTCAGTGCCCGCCCCGTGGCCCCTCTCCACTTCCAGGTGCCGCAGTCTCCCTGTCCCTGCGCATGACATTCTCAGGCGGGGATCACCTTGGAAGGGTGTCCTCCCCACAGGATGCACCGTGGTCAGGAACACGCACAGCTCTCTCTTCCGCATCCCCTGCTCCGGCCTCTGGCTGAGCCTGGGTCAAGTCCAAGCTGCTGTGCTCCCAGGCAGCGCCTCTTTGGCCTTGGCAGCTCAGGCCATCCGAGCAAGGTCCTTTGGTTCCTTTGTGGCATTCAGGAAACCGGCTCTTGTGCTTTGCTGTGGAATCAAGACTCCATCCCGTGACTCCTGGGCCTCACTGCCATGTGCTAGGTTCCTGGAGTTTGGCTTTTCCCTGGTCAACACACAGTTTCTGTGTTCTGGATGCTATGGCTCTGTCTCCATCACAACACAATCCTCTCTTCCAGCAGAGCTCAGGCGAGTGGAAGAGGAGCAGGACGTAAGGTGTCCTGACATCGCTGGGCTGAGATGCCTATGTGAGCTTTTCAGCTCTCCTGCAAGACCATGAACCATGGTGGGTGACAAACTCCCATCCTGTGGTGAGAGGCGGGCGGCAGAGGTGAGCCTGCTGCATCTACCCAGCCCTTGTTGAGGCGGGGCCAGGAGCCTCGGCCACCATTCTGTGTCATTGTCCGAAAGCTAAGCAGATGGAGGGCAGATTGAGTGCAGGCTCGGTGCTGGCTGATGGGAAACCCAAACAAGTCTGTATTTCTTGGGGCCTTTTTCTTTTGTTACCAGTAAGTTCATGCCTCCCCAAACCCATCTGGGCAGACATGCTGGGTCGAGGTCACGGGCAGGGTGAGCAGGGGACAGGAATTCCCAATTTAAGCAGCCCTCAGATGTATTCCCCTGCGCTCAGCCCCACCAGCTGGATGCACCTGGCACAGCCTGGCCCCTGCCCCTCTCAGCCCTTGCTCCTAGCTCTTTCTCTCCTGTTCTTTCCTCCTGGCTCAGGGCTCTTCAGCCTCAGGGGTCTCAGCCACAGCCCCTGGCCTGCTCTCTGCGTGGCAGCCTCCTTCTTGCTTGCCTGTCTCACCTGCCAGCCCAGAGGAGGTCCCTTTGCGCTCTCCCTGGGACGCCAGGTATTTGCCATCATGGCTCTTGTCATTCATTGCAGTCTACTCGCATGTAGCCTGTTGCTGAGTGGCTCTGACCTGGTACCAGGGCGAGGCCAGCATCCTCGGGCCATTCAGGTCTTTGTTATGCACTTAAGTGAGCTGAACCCACAGGACTCTAGAGCTAGAGCCACCTGTGTCCACCAGGCAGTGCATGACTCCCAGTGGGGACATCGTGCCTGGGTTGGGGCGGACTGGTTCAGAGTGAGGACTTTACCCTCACCTCTCCAGCCCTTGACACAGGGAGCCCAGGTCCAATATGACTGTCCAGGAGCTCAGGACAGGCCCTCCTGGACTATCCCCATCTCAATTGGGAATCTTGCCGGGGGCTGGGGGGATCCTAGGGATTCCTGATATCACTGTAAGCCTTCTGTAGCAGAAAGACCAGGTGGAGAGACATTTTAGACATGGGGCTGGTTCCAAGGTCATGCCTGTGTTTTGTGGCCCCTGTCCCCACCTGTTCTGCTGCTGGTACCCCTGCCAGACCTCAGCTTAAGGTCACCTCCTCACAGAAGCATTCTCTGGTCTAGAGGAGAATCGCCAGGGGCATTGTTCCTGGAACCTCAGAGAGACAGATGCTCAGAGACCCAGTGACACTGGTGCCATCTCTCTCTACAGACCCTCCAACAAAGCATCTGCACTCCCTTGGGGCCTTCTGGATCTTGAAGGATGGGAGGACAGTCACCAAGCCTGAGTCAGCTTGGAGGTCCCCTGTCCAGGGCTCTGATGTGACCCTGCAGTCCTGTCTCCAGCATCCGGCTGGGAAGGGCTGCATGGAGACTGCAGCTGCAGAGCAGTGCTTTCGGAAGAGGGAAAGTCACGGCCCCAGAGACGGCCCTTCCCTGGCCAGCCATGCCCTCTGCCACTCCCCTCTGCACACACAGTCCAGGGGACTGCTAAGCACAGGGGGCTGCACTGCTGAGCTCAGAGCCACTCAGGACCCTTGGCTCAGCTGAACTCCAGGATACCATGAGCTGCATGTGTCTCACCTTGGTCCTGGAGGGGCTGGAAATGGGGCTGCTGCGTCTCACAGTGACATTGTGGTGGCTCAGAAAGGCTTTTTCTGGCTTCTTCATCCAGGACTGGAGAAGTCTGTTATCTGTAGAGGGGTCTCATGGTGGGCCTGTGAGGTGTGTGTGTGGTGTGTGTGCGCGCGCGCATGCACAGTGGGGAGGATGAACATCCTTGGCAGAGGGGAGTGTGGGACTTGTACTCTTCACTCCATTGAAAGTGAACTTCGGGGTGCATGAGACAGGAGAGTAGGCATCCTCCCTTCGCAGGCTGCTGGGAACTGCGCTTTGACTGTGGTCCCCAGCACAGCACAGGTCAGGGTGGACAGCATCCCATCATTGGCTCTGCCAAAGAAAAGCTCACCTACTTTTCTCTCGGTTTCAGGAACCATGCCATTTAGGGGGCCCTTGGTGGCCATCTCTGCCTGGACCAGGGTGGAGATGTTTGTCCTGGCTTGGCAGGATCAGCCTTGCCTGGCCCGTGGAGCTGGGAGCCAGGCTGGGTCCTAGTATCTCCCTCCACCCCATCCGGAGCCCCATGGGGCACACGACAGGTAGGGGGCCTCTGCAGACCAAACAATCCTGGCTCCCACTGCAAGCCAACAGAGCAGGCCCCACTGACACCTTCCCAGTGACAATGCTGAGCACTAACACACACTTACGGAGCACTTACCATATACCAGACACTTACCTAAGTTCTTGACATGTGCTAACATGGTTAATCCTCACAATAATCTTATGAAGTGGACATTATTGTGCCATTTTATAGACAAGGAAACTGAGGCATGGAGAGGTTGTATAGCTTACCCAAGGCCACCCAGCCAGAAAGTGGTGGAGCCCAGTTCACTGAGCTGTGACGTCTGCCTCAGGGCTGCCACGGTGTCACCCTTAAGTGCTAGGGATAGTGATGGGATGGCACCTGGAGGCTGAGGTGGAGCCTGTTCTGCTCTAGGGAAAATCCACTGGGTGCCACTGAAGCCCAGAAGGCTCTGGGAGTAGCTTTGGGCCACAGCCCCAGGGTCAGGACAGTGAGTGACTTGGATCCAGTGATGAAAGGGGAACAGGCCACATCCCCTTCTCAGGAGAGGACTGAGTGCCACCCTGTCCCCTCACTGGGCAGATATCTGTGAGTCTCCAGAATGGGGCCTGTGATGCCATAGTGCAGGGGTCCTAGGTAAAGCTTTATGAGACAGGCTTCTTGGGAGACTCAGACTCTCTGTGAGGAGAGTGGAGGAAGGCTCTCCCATGCCAGTGGGACCACAGAACCCACTTTCTGGGACTGCTGGCCGCCTGGGAAGGTGTCTGGACCAGGGCACAGGAGTAGTGAGTGGTGGTCTAGGTCCTTCCTCAGTCCAGCTGGGGGTCCTCAGCAAGACAAAGCCCTCCCTAAGCCTCAGTTTCCCAAGAAATGACTCTCCTAACTCCAACCCAGCTTCTCCAGGGGACTGTGAGCAGGGCCAAGGAAATCTCTGAGCCAGAGTGCTTTGCACAAGGCATGAGGCACCATGGAAGGAAGTGAGGGTGGAGCCTTCTTCTCCTAGAAGAAGCCACAGTGGCTGAGCCTAATTGCCCAGAGTAAGTCTCTTGGGTTCCTTCTTGTGCTTTGTGAGCAACTTCCACCACAAGAAAGAAGGGAACCATGAACAAATTTGGACTCGGTGTGTTGTCTCTGGAAGACCTGATGATCCCACCCATGACACCACCGATACTCTCCTTGCAAACCTCCCTCCTTGAGCTTATTCAGACATGGTTTATTCCATAGGCATTGAACCAGTCATCAAATGCCAGCCCTGCCCACAGTGGCTTTTGGGAGGCTCTGGGGACCCTTGAGAAAGCAGAAGAAATCAATCCCTGGGCTTTGGATGATAACCCCTAAATGTGTGATTTGAACAACACTCAGAAAGGGCCAATTAAAGCTCACCCTAGTCACTTGGGGACAAGAGATGCTTGAGCTGTGGCCCGATAAGGATCAGATCCATCCAAGAGACAGCAGTATTGTGTCATGGAATCAGGACACCCAAAATGTACAGCCCAGACCAGGAGGATGCTGACACTCAGGGTGAGGGCCAGAGCCCTTCTGAAAGAGATTTGAGCCAGGACACACAGTGACACTGAGATTTCAGACCTTCAGCACACGGGCAAGAGCCTTCTCCAAGCCTCTCGCCCAGCCTTCCTGGTCCCTTGGAAGCCTAGAAGGAATGGTTCCTCGGGTTCAGTGGCCTCTGGAGTGAGTGGCCAGTGCAACGAGCCACTGGTGTACCAACTGATTTAATTTAGCCATTCATTACCACCATCATCGCCACTGTTGGTGTCACCACCACCATCAACCCACCATTGCCATTACCCTGCCATCACTGTCATCACTACTACCTCCTCTACCGATACTACAGCCATCTCCAGCACTTCTGCCATGACCCTAATCACCACCATCATCACTACTGCTTCCTCCACCATCGGTACCACCACCATGACCATCATCACCAGCATTGTAACTGCCACTCTCTCCCCCTCATCACCACCACTGCATAACCACATCTCCACACCCATCACCAGCGCCACTGACATCACTGTTACCACATCTGACTGTCTATCCCCTCAAGTATTCATCTTTATTTCTGTCTGCTCATAATCAAAGAGACCCATCAAAGCTTGATCATACTAGGCTGACCGTCCATTCTGGTCTGTCCAGAGCAGTTCCAATTCAGGCCTGTTGTCCCCGCTCCAGTATTAAGAGCTCCTCTCTCACCTGTGCCCTGGTTTGCACGCTAAATTATGTAGTCACCTGCTGCCCCTTCTTTGTCTCCTCCCTTCCAGGAAACCCCTGCGAAAAGATGAAAATGGCACCAGCGTTGCTGAGTATCCCATGAGCTCCTCCCAGAGCACCAAAGGGGTGGATGTGAGCAACGCAATGGTGTGAGTCTGCAGGCCCTGGACCCGCTGGCCAGAGGGATACCTTGATGGCACTAGTGGACATGGGAAGTTGAGCCTGGCTTTGTCCAGGACTTCATTGCCTTGCAGGCCTCCAGCCTCCTGAAGGAGAAACCATCCTCTTCCCAGGCCAGCCCCAGTTGGCCCATAGGCAGGGGCCTAGACGCGGGGTCCCCTGCATGCAGCGCCTGGGGCAGCGTCACCGCCCAGGGCTCTCCACATTCTCCTCCTTGTCTTGTGTTTGGTCCACTGACTGTCCCCCAACTGCTGTCTAAAGCACATGCTCTGACGAAGGCAGAAAGTCTGTATGCCTGTGGGGAAGGGAGGCACCCTCTTTTAGGTAAAAGAGAGTGAAAGGGGGGCCACTCCCCAGCCTGAAGTCCTCTCCTCCTCCAGGAAGCAGCCGGCTTCTCTGTGGACATCCCAACAGAAGCCATGGGCACAGCCATGAGACAGAGGCCCCCTTCAAAGGTGCTTCTCACACATCTGTCCATCACCCCGTGTGTAACTGTCCTCAGCCTTCAGGGCCTGTGTCTGCCCTCCTGTTCCCACCCACACCCTGGCTGTGGCTCCTGCCTACCTGCCATGGGGCGTGTTGAGCCCAGCCTGAGAACCCCTGTGACCAGACCCAGGGGCTCTTTACGTGCGGGGCAATGTGCCAGAAGCCTAGGCTAGGGGTGTCCAGAAAGGGGCAGCGGCCCTTACACCACACTGGGGTGCAGGAACCCCACGTTCACGTGAGCCAGGCCCTGCCTCATCGAACAGAAGTCATCACTTGTGCCAAACCCACTGGGTTACTCTGAGCTAGGCCAATGCTGGCCTAGAGTCCTGCCTCCCTGACTGTCCCCTGAGGCCTGGCAGTGGTATCCGGAACCTCTTCTGAGAGCCCCTAGAAGGCAGGGTTCTCTTCCTGTGTCCTGTGGTCCAGTGCTCTAGATGTGCCGAACCCTCCTGAGTGTGGAAGAGGGAGGGCAGGGGCAGGAGCCTCCAGGCTTGGCCACCTCTGCCCTGCCCACCAGGTTTCCAGAGGGCCACCTCCCAGTGGGACACGTCACTAGGTCTGTGGAGACAGGGGGCTTGTGAGCTTACCTCCCTTGGAAAGTTAGAACGCTCTTGACCCTGTGGTTCCCCTCACCACCCTCACATACCTGCTCAGAAGGAATCAGAAACATTTAATGATTACAGCCTGTGGCCCTTAGGGATTTAGCTGGCTGGACCTTGTTCGCCTCCTACACACACCACCATTGTACTTCTCTAGCAGGTATTTGGGTTGCAGTGAGACCCTCAAATCCAGGAAAGACTGATAGACATGAAAGCCAGTTCCCACTTGGCCAAAATGTCCACTGTCCCAGGGCCCTGTGCCCGGAGCTGTCTGTCTGTCCTTCCCTTGGCCGGAGCATGCACATTAAGGACAGACCCAGCATATGCTCCCCCACAGAGGGTTTTGTCTTCCTTTCCCTTTTCCTCCTTCAACTTGAGGACTTGTTTGAATTTCACTTTCCTGGCACACCTTGATATCACCATAGTGCTGCCAACCGCCCCCACCCAGCTGAGCTCTTGGTGGTACTCTTAGGATGCAGTCAGGTGACAAACAGGCCAGAGGAGAGGGGTTGGGGGCAAGGCAGGAGGGAGAAGCCATCTGTGAGGGGTGGCACACCCCACCCCAGGGCACTATGCCCTGCTGACCACAGCCTCCTGGTGCCTGCTGAGCCCCCTCCCTGAGTACATACCTGGGCAGGTGAGCAGGAGCTCAGTCCTAAACACAGAGCACCTTGGGCTTCATGGGGGAAAAGCTGGTGCCCCGGGCTGGTCTAGAGTGGCCAGAGGGTGCCTTTGGCTGGAGGCTCTTGGCTGAGGGGCCTGGTGGACTAGGGCAGCCCAGAAAGGCTGGGCATGGCTGAGTATCCACACACCCACTGGTTCCACTATCCTTGACTATGGCTTAAACATAGAAAGCCTAGATTATCCAGTTAGGCTGTAGGAACCTGGCTGAGCTGCCCATCACGCCAGCCCCCAAGACACCCAGGGCTCCAGTTCGCATGTAAATTCCCCTCCGTCCACCTTGTAGAGTCCCTTCTCAGCCAGGTAGAGAAAACCAAGGGAAGAGTCACATTTTTTTAAAAAAAGGTTCAGTTGAGAACAAAGCCCCCAAATTCAGGGCTGCTGTTCAGAGGACACATCTCACGGCACAGCGAGGAAGGCCACCAGGCTTCCACCTCAGGACACTGACTTGAACGTTAGACTGCTGCAGCCTAGTAAGTGGCTTGGCGCTTTTGTTTAAATCTGCAGCCCCTCAACCCACACCTCTTCTCAGATTGGCCTGAGCTCTGAGGTCGAGAATGAGATGCACATTCCCTCTCCGCATTTTCTCAGATGTTTCTCAACTGTCTGGCAGTCGAGCCCCACTTTGGAACTCAGTGGCATTTGGGAGCTCCCAGAGTTACCAGGTGTTCCTAAGAGGCTTCTAGGGAAGTTTCGGGAGAAAGACTAATAGGTGTAAAGATATAAGCATATATATTATATAGTTATATATTTAAAGAAATATCTCTATATATATAATTACTGTACTCTGCATCTGTACAAAGTATGATCTCAACAGCCCAGGTAGTGTGAGACATGTAATGCATGAATATAAATATCCCGAACTCTGCCTTCTTAGTGATGTGCCATGTGTATGGGGACGATGCTCTTGTTCCTAGGCATTCTGTCTCGATGGACAGATATACCTGTCTGTGCCATCTTGTCCACCAATGAGCCATTCATGTCGATTTCGTGCTGAGACTTCTGTACAGGAGGCGGGACTGGCAGCCTGGGGGGTGCGCTATATGCTCCTTTTGAGGAAAGAAGCACCATGACTTTTTTATTTTCAATAAAAATATACTTAAAAGGTGGCTGTCCATTGTCATTTGAAGTAGGTGGTTGGCCCTGAGGGGTGGCAAGAGGAGGCCAGGTAGGAGTGGGAGAGGATCGTTCATGCCTGGGCAGGGTTGGGGACCTTACCTGCATTATCTCTCTGTCACCCCAAGGTTGAGATTTATGGGGAATTCAAAGGCCAATCCTGTCCTTCACCCCTCCTCTCCACTACCACCATGATCTTGGACCACACTGAGAATAGGCTGACCAACCTTCCCAGTGTGCCCGGGCCTGACAGGTTCTGAACCCCTGAACCCACAGCATTTCAGGAGTAAGAAAGGAAAAGTCCCAGGCAACTGGAAGAAGCAGTCAACCTAATCTGACAAAAACTCATGGCAATCCTAAGGAGCAGGAGTCGGCTGGTCATCCTGGTGGGGCAAATGTCGACTCTTCCTACGTCCCTCTCTGTCTGGAAGTCCCCTTCCTGGCATCATGGCCTGCCCTGCTCATGCAAGCAAAAGACACCAAGGACACAGGGCTCACCTGGCTCTGGAGGGGGTGGGGCAGGAGCCACTGTGGGAGCCCATCTGCCCCTCCCAGCCTCACTCTCAGGTAAGCCTCACCAAAGCAGCTGTGCTTCCCAGCACTTCCAGGGAAAGCAGGTGCTCTTGAATGGGCTGGGCGGGATGTACGGAGGGAAAGCAGATGCTCTACAGCACTGGGACCCCCATCTTCAGGCAGGGAACAGATCAGAGAGATGGATGCCATGACCAAGCTCATGCAGAGACCAGCAAACAAGAATGGGACTGGGTTTGGAATCCAGACCTTCAGCAATGGCTTCTGGTCACGACTGAAGCAACCCCAAGCCAGACTGCCCCCCCGCAGTGGGATACTGCTGACCCCACCATCCCTACCTGGGTTCCCCACAGCTTCAGAATAGGCTCTGTGACAGCTGACTGTGCAGGTCCTGCCGAGGGCTGCTGCGAGTGTCTCCCCAACCTGTCCCAAGTCTCACAGCTCGGCGGAGGTGGGGAGGGCCAGCTCAGGGCAGGCACTCTGACAAGGGCAACGAGGGGCCCCGTAGAAGGTCTTGCCCAGAGCCCGAGGCATCCTTTTCAGTACTGTCCCCCCACCCCCTGGGACTCTGAGCTGCCCACCTGGGAGGGTGGAGGAGATCCCCGCACACATACCTGGAGCCATCGGCACAGAGCCACAGCGCCAGACCTCTCCTCAGTGACACTTTCGTCTCTACACCTCTCTTGGGGCTCTGGCCACTTGTTCTACCTCCAGGCAACCACCACAGCACAGTGCTCCACTGCCCGACAGCCCCATGTTCTGCTTTGGGATCCTGCAGCCACCAGGAAGGTGTGAGAGGCAGTGGGACACACAGGGCTCCCTGCCTGGCACCCTGGTGGAGCTCTCCCTGGCACTTGGGAGCGGTGGCAGTGGCAGCACTGCTCTTCCTCCTTCCCTCCCAGATGCCACACCACATGCACCATTGGGTTGCACTGTAGCACAGAAGATGGTCCGGTCGTGTCCTGCAAGAGCCCAGGCACTGGGTCCCCACCCCACCCAGCTAGTGACCTGCCCCACTGGATTACCTGTGTCTGCCTCCACTGCTCCCACACCCTGTCCCACAGTGCTGAGTGCCTTCCTGCTTCCCTGCCTCTGCTAAACTCAGCTCTCAGAAAGAATCTGAGAAATGCCTCTACTTGTGGCAGGGGCCGGTCTCCATCTGCACACAAACAGCGCCCCAGGCTCCGGGCACCTCTGCCTGGCAGGTCCTAGGCTGCCAGGCCCTTCTCTATCCCCCCCCCCCGTCCTCTGCTGGCAGGTCGGCCCACCCCAAGTTCCATCCTCTCCTGAACAGGTGTTCTTGAGCTCCTGGTTTCAGGTCACCATCATTTGTACATTCAGTCAGTTCCTAAATACGAAAACCTGCTGCCTTCCAGGCATCGTGCTGAGCACAGGGCTCAGCTTCCCCCACCAAGGTCTCACGTGGAAACTTCAGAGATCCTGGCTTCTCCAATCTGGTGGGTCCTCCCTTGGCCTCCAATGCATTCTCCAGTCTCACTTCTCCTCCACCCCCACCCCGCCCTCCCCAGCCCCACTGTCCTGCCAGCTTGCCTCTCCCTCCAGTCTCAGCGTGACCACATCTAATCCCTAAATCAGATCCCTGCTGGGGGGCCCTCCTCCCTGAGCACACAGAATCTACACCCACCCATGCACAGAGCCGAGTGACATCCCCTTCCCCAGGCGACAGACAGCCCTGCAAGAGCGGTGCTCACATTTTGCCCTCTCCTGTGGTATCTCCTGTTGCATTACCTTCAGCTGTTGGCCGGAGACCCTTTTGCCACTTCTACCCTAGGTGTCCACTGGGGCCCAGGAAGCATCCTAGAGATACAGAGGGAAACAGGAGCCGACCGGGGTGGCAGTGGATCTACGCTGTGCACAGAGGGTGACAGCAGTGTGGAGATGAAGGGACACCCAGGACCAACTCACACTTTCTCTTTCCCTTTCTCTTTCCCTTTTTCTTCCTTTCTTTCTTTCTCTTTCTTTCTTTCCTTTCTTTCCTTTCTTTGTCTTTCTCTTTCTTTCTCTCTTTCCTTTCTCTCTCTCTCTTTCTCTCTCCTTTCTTTCTTTCTTTCTTTCTTTCTTTCTTTCTTTCTTTCTTTCTTTCTTTCCTTCCTTCCTTCCTTCCTTTCCTTCCTTTTTTTGGTACCAGGGATCAAATTCAGTACCTTGTGCTTGCTAGGCAGGCACGGCGCCACTGAGCTATCTTCCCAGCCCTTTCCTTACTTTTTGACCACTCTCCAGAGCCTAGGAGGCAGGAGGACACCCCCTGTTTTACAGAGAGAGTGGACCAGGGTCTGAAGGCATTCAAGGGTTACCAAGGGGCAAAGAAGTCATAAGTGGCAGAGCTGTGACTCAGTCCTAGCTCTGAATGGCTACACATTTCCAGTTCTTCTGACTCAGACAGGTCCTCAGAATTCAAATGCCTGCTCCAGCCAGATCTCTACTCAGTTATCTTCCCCGCCCTTGGGAAGCAGACAGGAAATGCAGCCTTCCTGGCCCCTGGAAGCAACATCAGGGGTTCCCAGAGCTAAGACAGTGACTTAATATGTGACTTCTAGCGAGGCTCTTTCCCTCTCAGAGCCTCAGTTTCCTCATCTGTAAGATGGGGGCAGGGACCACCCCGGCTGCCTCCTTCCCCCAGCACACCTTGTGGCCCTCTCTGACCATCCCTAGTCATCTCTATACGATCACCTTGGTTTGTTCTCAGCACAGCACTTCTCACCACTAAGAGTAACTGTTGGCTTGTGCGCATGCTTGCTGCCCTTCTCTTCCCGTTAGAATACAAGGTGCGTGGGAACAGAGGCCTTCTCCAGGTCTTAGTCTCTTTCATCACCAGATCTCCAAACATACCTGGCACAAGAAACATTTGTCGAATTAATTACAAATTTAATGCAATAAGGAATGTAATGTTTTATTTTATATAACTGTTGGGAGTCCCCACCTCCTTGGTTGTGCACTGACTAGGGATGGGGGGTAGAAAAAAATGAAATTTTCAGGTTGATGGTATTTTTCCCCTTGTCATTTCACTGGTATCTTTCAGATGACTGTTTCCTGTGGACAGGTGCTCTGTGTTCGGGCGTCTTCCCAGGACCTGCCGCCCCTATGAAGCACCTAACTGTAATGTCTTATGCAGGGAAGCTGGTCTCAGCCACATGGAGTCTTGAGGTCCTCTCCGGTCTCTGCTGCAGAAGGGCTGGCTTGAGCTGTTTCCTAGATGAGTGATCGTGGGCTGTGCCTGTGCCTTTCTGGCCTTTTAGTGTCACTGGCTAACCCCCACTGCTCCCCCTGCAAATGTCCAGCTGTGATAGCCTTGCCCTCCTGAATGTGGCCTCTGCCCAATTTCCTGTTCTCTTGGCATCAGACTCTTGGGGACTTGCAGGCTCTGCACATGGCTGTGGACATTTCTGGAGGTTTACCTGACAGCATCTTCCAGGGCTCCCAGGTACATTTCCACGTGGACACTTGTACAACATCCTCAAGAGAGAAGGTTCAGACATGGCCTCCCAGCCCTACCCTACACTCTTCCCTTTTTCTTTTGCCAATGATCCACCAGGGTCCAGAAGAAGTGGGCTCTCTGCTCCCTCATCCTGTTTGACCTTTTTGACTACAACCTTCCTAGCCTCCTCCTGCCCAGCACTGTCCATGGAACAGACTGGGGCACATGATTTCCTGGAGAAGAATAAAAAAAATCCATTTATTATTTTCAGAATATTATCCCCATCACAGATACAATGATATGCTCAGACCACAAGAAGTCCAAATGCTGACAGAACATGCCATATGGAGGAGGATTTCCTGGTTGCTCATTCCGGCTCAGAAGCATGGGAGCAGCCTTGAGGCACCATAAAACACAGCAGCATGGGAACACCACCCTGAGAAGAACATGAGCCAAATGCCCACGGCAAGCTGTGATTTCATTTCAGCAAAACACCAGCTGTCACATGGTACTACAGTTTGAGCTAAATGGCTGCCTGGATGGAGGGCATTTACAGCAGAGTCAGGCACACAGGGCAGGCAGAGCTCCAAGAAGGCTCGCCCTGTTCATACTGGTGCCAAGTTCCTGTTGGCCATTCCTCCCTGTGCTCTTTACAGGACAGGAAAATGTCCCCTCCACCTTGCAGTTGATGAAGCTAAGGCTCAGTGAGATTAAGCAACTTGCCTGTGATCAGAGAGCAGGGCTGCTCTCAAGTCCAGAACACCACTCCTGTAGACCTGGCTGCAAAGCCTGTCTGTGTGCCCTCTCTGCCCACATCCTGCTGTCTCTCTGGCCCCTCTTTGCCCTGCCCCTCACTGGGCAGTGTGGTTGTCCTCACCTGGAGTGTGCTTCTGTACTTCATGCTTGATTAGTCGCTGATTCCTTTCTTTTCCAAGTGGCCACTTCAAGAAGTGGAAATCAGGGTATCTGCCAGGCAGCCCTGGGAGGCTCCCTTCTCCACTGGCCTGAAGGGGCCTGTCTGGGCTGCATGACGGAAAAATCAACTCTTTCTTCCTGGAACAACCAAATCCTGGGACACCTACGGGGCATGGCTGGTGTGGGGCTTACCCTGGCCACCCACTTGACCTCAGCTTTCCTGAGCAGGACAATCCAGGATGGTGGTGGGCTGACAGTGGCCACGTGCAGAGGCAGGGCCAATGGTAGGCTGGGCACAGGAGTGATGCCAGGGACACATGACCCATTTGGGGCTGAGATGGCCCCAAGTGACCCTAGACAAATCCTACCCCTTCTTGGCCCCAGAAATGGGAGGTCAGTCTACACCATGTAACAGACTCATAGTCTACAGGGTCAGTGGCAGCATGAGGGAAGGTTCCAGCCCTGTGAACTGGCCCGGAGGCACAGGATTTCTGCCTAGAGGCTGTGGGGCTGGTTCTTCTGCTTTGGAGGCCAGAACTGAAACAAACGGGGGCCAAGTGCTCCACAGTGAGTATCACATCCAAAGAAGAAATTATAAATTCAAACTCACCAAACAAAATATACTGCGGCCAGTCAGCCAGGAGGCTGCCAGTTGGTGATCTGATCTAAATGATTCTAAGTTATCCGGTTGGTCAGATGAGTACCAAGAAACTTTACCAAGCATTTAACTACCACTATATAATAGGTAGAATTTAGACTTTGGACGCAAACATATCCAGATTCAAATTTTCCTCTGTCTCTGACTGACTGACTCTGGCAAATATTTCATCTCTCCATGCCTCAGTTTCCTCATTGTAATATGGGATTGATAATAGGAATGCCTGCCTCACACTGTTGTGAAGATGCAATGACATCACATAGTGAAAATACATGAAACATAGTAAATCCTCATAAATAGGAGCTATGATTATGCATAAGAGCAAATCTCTTCAGGGCTGAGTGAACTCTCAAAAGATCCCAAATCCAATAGAGTTCATCATCACAGTCTTCAATTCATACAAGTTTATTCTTTCACATAAAACTATTAAATTAAGGAGGAAACTGAATGTGATTTCTGATTGGTAATTTTTTCATATAAATGAATTCATTCCCAAAGTTGAAGGGGAGAACACCTTTGCAGGTGAAGTAACTCTGGTTTGATCAAAATTGATGACAGATAAGCAATAAACAGTGTTGTCAATACAATTGAGCTGCCTCAAAAAAAGCCCTCAGACTTCTCTACCCCGTGCTCCTGGCACACGTTAGCCAGAAGAGCCAGGAACCAACAAGAGGAAAGAGAAATGAACATTTATTGAGTGAGGCTCTGACTTGGAGTCCAGTGATCTAATCCTAATGCCACTATTGCCAGCTGCATGACCTTGGATAAGGCACTTAACCTCTGGGCCTCAGCTGACCCACCTGCAAAACTGGGAAGATGAAAACACCTGTCCCCCACCGGGGAAGGGCTGATAAGTGAAATAATATATGTAAAGAACTTGGGACTAGCAGATGCTCAATATACAGTGGCTATTGTGGTTTCTTTTGAATTCTCTTAAGAAGCTCACTTCTTGCAGCTAGCACTGAAGGAACTGCCCAGTTTCTTACTAATAATACCTCAGCCATCTCCCAAAGGATTCAACTTTCATAAAACTGTAGTTAGGTACTACTTCACTGAGTTCCCACCACTCCGTTCTTCTTAACCTACCATTATTGTCAAAACACCCAGTTTGCCCAAAATACACATTTGCAAATTAACATCATTAAAGAGGTATAATAAATGGTCTGCAGTGTCCAATTAGTTCCAGGTCCCAGCGCATGAGACAGCCTTGGTGGACAACTCATCTTCTCTGATCCAGTCCAATCTTATTTGATGTCTTGTCACTTAGAAACGGAGATGAAGTTGCTGGAACCACTTGGCTTCACTGAATGACTCTCAGAGATTTGCTAGAAATATCCCGGCATCTGGCAGAATGGCACTCTTGCAAAAAGATGGCATACGATGGATAGTGGACATTCTCAGCGAATGACCATGTTTGGCTCCCATAGATCTTGTAGGTCTTGATGCTGAAGCACTGGCTGAAAGAAAAATCAAATAAGCCCGCAGCTGTGAGCTGTCCCCTTGTGTGGCCTTCATAAAGTAGCACCAGTCTTCCCAGAAGTCTGTGGATCCCAGTATGGTCTCCCAGGTACCAACAGTCCTCTGCCTGTTTGAGCCTTCCATCGCCCCAGAGAGATGAATAGCTCCATTTTACAGATAAGGAAAAACAGAGATCCAGAGAGGTTTAATAACTTGTCCAAGGTCACCCAACTAGTAAGAGGAATGCCCATCATGAAAAGTCATTGGACTGAAACCTATATATTTGGAGATTTGGCCCATTCCATTCTTGGAAGTCTCAGAATGTTCTGTTCACATGCTGACACTGGTGGGATTCCATGAGGGGAGTGAAACTGAGCCAATGCCTTGGCCCTTCTCCAGGCCGATAATCAGCGCTGGCCACACCTGGGTCAGGGCCGTTTTGTTGGGATCTCTCTGGCCCCATCCTGCTTTCACCGCTGTCATCCGGGACTGTGTGTGGGGAGCAGGAGTTAACGTGGGAGGTATCCGGGAGCACAGTCCCTGGGGCTCAGGCAGCCTGGAGTCTAGTTCTCGTTCTGCCCCTTACAAGCTATGTGACCTTGGGCAAGTGGCTTTCCCTCTCTAGGCTTTAACACTAGAATAAAAACATAATTGAGTGCATATCATTACCAGGTATTACCCTAGCCCCTCCTTTTGCAAGTTTTTCATCATCTTTTGTTACATTCTTTCAACAACCCTATGAGGTAGAAAGTGCCATTGTCCCCATTTCACAGATGAGGAAACACTAATAATGAAATTCCCAGACCACTGGTGTGTGTGTGTGTGTGTGTGTGTGTGTGTGTGTGTGCACGGGTTCTAGCTCAGTGCCTCTAGATGGCCTTCACCTTGGCCGAGGGTCAGCACACTTTCTGTAATAACCAGATGGTAAAGATGTCAGGCTTTCTGAGTCATAATCTCAGTTGCAGCTCTTCAACTCTGCCTCTGCAGCATAAAAGCAGACACAGACAGTATATACATGGTGGGTGTGGCTGCTTCCAAAAAATTTTACAAAAACAGGCAGTGGGCTGCATCTGTCTTGTGGAAATGTAGTTTGCTGGTCCTTGACCTAGGTGAAAGGCAAGTCCTCCTACCTTTTAGGGCACACCCTGTTAAACTGCAATAAGTCCCCTCTTTTCCTAGTTTCTGTTTTCTAAGTGGCTGAGCCCAGTTTGCCGGAGAGCTGGCATAGGTAACAACAGAAGATGACACTGGAATCTGTAGTAAATGCAGGCTGGGGATGCTCACTGGCCTCTCAGTGAAGTAACAGTGTGCCAGCATGGACAGCATTGAGGTCTGGCTGGCAGAAAATGGGTTACAGTTCTCAAGGGCAAGGAGACAGATGGGCCTGGGTGAGACTAAGGACCCTGGTGGAGACTAAGGTAAAGGAAATAGGTCCAGACAGCAGAAAGCATTAAATGGGGGCTCAGAAAAGAGTTCTGAGCTAAGGGCTTGTCTCCAGCCCTCAAGGGGATTGCAACTGCAAAGGGAAGTTGAGGCAGAAGCCTGGTCAAAGAACTAGGCAAAGAAGATGGAGAAGAAGCCGAGGAAAACTTTGAATCTTGTCTAAGGGTAGGATGGGGCCACCAAGGCCCAGGGTGCCTGAGCCAATGCAAGTACAGGACCAGCCATGAGCCAGGCCTACAGCTAAACCCAGACGGGGAAGTCAGTAAAACCTCCGTCCAGGAAAGCAGCCAGGGTCTCCTTCCTCCAGCCTGTTTCCATGCTCCCCTCTAGGAATTCTTGCACAAAAGACAATGTCATAATTCAATCCTTGCGAATCCACTGTGTAGCTCAAGGAAGATCTGTCGCTTCATTGAATCCACTCAATCCAATAGATATCAATTAAACATGTACTATGTTCCAAAGGCTGGGTGTGCAATCCTCAAAGCCATGGCTATTTTCTAGTGAGGTAAATACAGGTACAACTTAATGTAATACAAGACAAAATGTTTAGGGAAGCTCAGCCAAGTGTGACTGGGGCACAGGACAGTTCTGGCTGGAGGAGGGCCTTTCAGAAGAATGCACTGGCAAAACACAAAGAAGGATCGCTCTGTACTCTTCATACAGGGCCTGAAAGTTTTCGTAAGAATGAAGATCTGCCACCCTGTCTTACTAGAATTCATGCGGGACACTTAAACATCCAGGACTTCTTTCCCCTGAGAAACATGAATCTATTAAGCCTCCTGGAAGAAAAGGGGCGGTTCTTACTAAGCAACATGGAAGGGGGAAAAAAAGAAAGAATTGTCTCATGACCTCAAAGTCCTTCTGAGAGAATGGACTTCAATAAATCTTGTATTTCTCTCACCAAAGGACCTCTTACTAACTGAAGTGTAAGGGAGTTAGAAGTTGTAAAATTTCAGAAGAAATAGTTGTCAAGAACTAAACTCTACCCCTATAAGCTGATTTTTAAAAACCCCAGGCTCACAAAGATAATAAAAAATGCATTTAATAGCATGTCAATATACAGCTTAAATGTGTAGTAAGCCTTCTTTTAGTCAGTGCATTACAGGGATAAAGAGAAATGTCACTCGGAATGCACAGCTGAATGCTAGGTATCAGTGTGGGGAAGTCTTGGTGCTCTGACACTATTAAAATTCTGCTTTATGAAACATAACTCCAGGTGAAGTGCTCTGTGCCAGTGCGGGGACTCATCTGGTCCAGTATGCAATCTACAGTTGTAAATTGAATTGTATACAAGTATTAACAAAAGAATAAAATTTATTATTCACAAAACTAAAGTGGTTATCATAAAGCTTACAAGAAAGTACAGCCTAGAGCTAATGAGTTGAAAAACTAGTTTTAAAAATAATAAAACTTACTGGACAGTTTGGAAAATGATAATTATAAAACAAATAAAACAATTGGCACAGTTTAACCACCTAATTTCTAAGTGCACTTTGTAATGTTCCTTGCAAGCTGCCACTTTTCCCAGGAGAATGACAAAAAGCTTCAGTCAGGTGTCACTGTCTTATGGTGACGGGTTTTTTTATTGCATTGCCAAGAGTGGATTTTAAGAAAAAACACTACAAAGGTTTCAAAAACCCTATTTATTCTCTATCATCAAAAATAGCAACAGGGGGACTTATACAACTTTTCTGTGAGTACCCACCAGTCTATTTTTTTTTCTTAAAAAAAATAGAAGTTAGTTAAAGAAAAATGATTTGGTTTTTAAAAAATAATGTAAGGAAACACTTAATCAGATAGCCCAAGGAGTCATCAGAAATATGTGTAGCAAGAAAGCTTCATTTGTGGCCCTCTCTGGCCTTTGCACATCTTTTACTAAACTAGAAAGAGAATGTACAGTACCAATATGTTCCCCAACCTGCTTGGATCAAATTGTTTTGTTTTTAAACCCATTATTGCTAAACCAGAGTGTTGACACTGAGAGCCGAGGAGTCCACTCATAGAGGATAAAATTGAGAGGCTGCTTCTGAGGACTGGATTTCCACCTGGGCCATTTTGAACTGGGTGCACTGCAGCCACTTGCGGAGGGCTGCTAGGCCAGCACTGCTCTGGCCCGAGCCGGGCAGCGTCCTTAGGCTGTGGTGGTTCACGTTGTTCTGAATGGCCTGGAGGCGAAGCTGGAGGCCTGCTGATAAGTGCTGTTAAGAAAGGGCAGATGGTTTGGTTTAGTAACCTCCTCCTAGAGCTCAGGGCAGCCTGGGGAATGTCAATGGGGCCACTTCTGAAAGCAGCCCTTGGCCTGGTCCAAGAGCTATGTGCCTGGTCACCCCAGCCCAACCCCACCTGAATAACAGCAGGCTCATCTTTACTGCCTCACTGCTATGGGAGTGTGCAGCCAACATGCCAGACCCTTGGCTGACATACACACTTGTGCCCAGCAGCAACTCAGTGCATGGAAGGGTGGAGAAGCGGCTGGCTCTGCTGTCAGGCTCCCCAAGTTCAAATTGTGGCTTCTCAACAGGCATTTTGGGAATGAGGCTGACCACTTGTATTAGGGTTTCCTCTGGGTAGAGTGGATGCTCACACTCGCTTCAGAGGGTTCTATGGACACAAGTGAGTTAATAGAGTGTTTAGGAAGGAACATGGGTGTAGTGGGTGCTGGCTACATCTTAGTATTCTTATAAGCTCCCCGTCCTCATCTCAAGTGAGATGAATAAGCTGGGCTGAAAGCTTTTCTTCTTTCTCTTAGCTTGTTACCACATTCTGTTCGCTCTTCTTTGCACTCTACCATGTAAAATGGCCATGGATCGACAATGGGGCAAGTGATTTGGAATGCTTCCGGGTCCAAATAGGAGGGGTCCACTTTCACAGGGAAAACTAGCACTGAGATGAGGTTTTCAGCAGTGTTGGGGCCCCTGCCCCACCAGGAGCCACAAACAGCCCTAAGGCCATCATCGGGACACAAAAGCAAGCGGCATGCACTGCGGACAGGTGCCTTGCTCTCTCCGTATCTCAGTACCTTCAGTCCTCCCACCCCCTTTCCTTGCAGTAGCATCCCTCCACAATGCAGAGAAGGGACCCAGCCAGAGTTTCTGGCCTCCACCTTTCCTGTACTCCCAGTGCCTCAGGTGGAAGGAAGTGGATGGAGCAGGCAGCTGGTTTCGCCATCTTAACGTTGAGCCCCAGTAACTATGTCTGCTTGTCATGAAGTATGCCCGCCCCTACAGTGACAAAATGTCACTCCGGGTGAGGCCTAGGATTGGGAAATACCTTTAGTCAGGGCCTTCCCCTTCAGGCTGGGGGACCCTGCCCAAATTACTCTCCCTTTTGATTCTAAATGTTCCTGTGTGTGAAATGAAGGAGTGGGTTCCTTCTAGCTCAGTTCTGTCACTCATTCAATATATATCCTTTCTTAGTTGAATTTGCATCACAGAAAATCAATCTTAGCAGTCAGGAAACATCACTGGATATGCCTGGGACTAGATTCCTTGAGAATCCTCCAAAAACAAGACTGCTTTGGGGTCTGGATTCTAATAAGTAAACTGAGCCTTGCTCAGACCCAGGGATGCCTCATCCACCTGCATCCCCACCAATGTAAGCGTGGAACAGAGGCTTGTCTGTCGCCTTCTTATGGGCCTTTTATTTGGCCCACAGGGTCTCTCGCATTATTAGCCCTCTAAGACTAAGGACAGGTTGAATTCCTCCTTCTCCGTAGTAAATGGAGTATCAGCCATCTCTATGAATATTCTGATGTTCTCTGGCCGAGAGCTTCTGACAAGCCCAGGGGATAACTTACCTTGATATTTGACTGAATCATTGGCAACCACATAGGTATCAGCTGTATGGAGAAAGACAGAAGCCTCGTTATTATTGTCCTCTGTTCCCCCATGTTTCCATTACTGCAAGGGAACAGTGAATCCCTTTAACACCATGCAAGGATGTGGATCCCTGTGGTGGAGCTAACCGTTATCAGCAAAGTGTCTTTCTCAGCCAAACCCTGCTGAGATGGTGGCATTTGCAGGTTAATAAGCACCCCATGAGTGCCTGAAATACACACTTTAGAGTATGTGACTGATTGTGTCTTGAAAGCTACCAAGTATGGGAAATTAAATGTGTATTTATTTAATTAAATTCTCACTTTATTAAAATAGACTTTCCTCCACGGGATCTTTAGAACTGAGTCTCTGAGTGAAATGGCCACTACATTTGCCTATAGTCATTAAGAGAATGTCACTGGGCAGCAGGGAAATGCTTCAGTGACACACAAAGACAACCCCTGGGGCTGCCTGGCTGTGCTTTGGAAGCAGAAATACAAGAAGATGGAGCCAGGCATCTGCAGAGTGTGGGTGTCCACACCCTACAAGCAGCAGGTCCCTGCAGGGATGACTCGTCTCTCTGCCGTCCCATGTATGTGATCCTTCCTCAGGGCCCAGGGGAGCCCCCACTTGAGTGCTTCCATTAGCAGCTCCTCTCTCACTGCTTTGGTCTTTTGGTTGCATTTCGGTCCTTTAAAACATAATTAAATATCTATGGCTTTATAAACCCAGAAGTCAGGGACAGAATGTAACATCTCTGTGTGTTCCAGAGAGATCTGGTTTAAATCCAGTTTAAATTGTGAGATTTAAATGGGGACTATGGTCCAATAAGTTTGGAAATGCTAGTTTCTTCATTTTAGCACTTCTCAGATGTGCATCATATCATTTCACTACTTACTCTTTCCAATCTTCCACTCCCATAGAGAGGCAGGGTTGTTATGGTCTAGCATCTATGCAAGACCTACATTGTATCCTACCTAACCTGTGATGCCTCGGATTAGACTTTACTGGGAAATGGGAATGTTGAAGAAGCAGTTAGTTAAGATGGGGTCATACAGGAAGAGGGTGGGGACCTAATCCAATACAGGTGGGGTCCTTATAAAGAGGGGAGTTTGGACAGAGGCACATGCCTATGAACACAATACCATGTGGAAATGAAGGCAGAGATCTACAAGCCATGAAATGTCCATTCAGCAGGGCCTGGGAGAGAGGGATGAAACAGACTCCCCCTTATAGCCTTCAGAAGTGCTGTCACTGCCGCTAAGAGCCCGTACAGTAAGTCCCCGACTTACGTGAACTTTTGCAGATATAAATGGCCCTCGCATTAAAAACATTAGTATAGATGCAAACAAAACGAGGAAGTAGCTCACATGTCTGCCGGACATTGTCACAGTTGTGCTACTGTGTCCTTACTGTACAGTGTGATAGTGTACAGTATTATTTGTGTGTGTGCATTTGGGTTTTTTTATGCTTTAGATTGTATATTTGTGTCAAAGGAATATAAGACTCACTTCATTGCACTTGGGAAAGAATCCAACTTCTGAAGGTTCTCCCAGAACGGAACTCCTTCATAAATTGGGGATTTACTGTATAGGTAAGATAACTGGAATAGTGATGTTGGTTCTAAAAGGGTTTATGTTTTTTTTCATGGATACAACATGTGATCACATGACTCTAAAATATATTTGCAAAGGACTTCAGCTTTGTGATTTACAAATCACATGAGTGAAGGCATCTGGTTAATGCTCATCATTACTGATAGCATTATATGACCCAAAATCATCCCATTTCAGGAATGCTAATTTGACTTATTGAATAACATTCATTGTAGCCCCCTTTTGGTAGTGGTTCTTACAAAACTGACAGAACCAAATGTAATTTACTTTGGGCTCTGTAATGTTATAATAAAGTCGGTCAGATTTTTTTTCCTTCTCCAGAAACAATATCCAGAAAAGTGAAGTACATTTTTTAAAATGTGCTTTTTCATCAAAATCAAAGTAGTACTCTTCATCTTATCTTGGTTTATGCTAGAAAATAAATGAAAAATTTGACATTTGGTTAGACTGTGTTCATTTCACCTCTGCTCGTTTCAGCTCTCAAAATTAAAACTGGTGGTGAAACATTCCCTTTGAGGCAAGACGGAATAGCAAAGACCAGACTCTCCTGCATTCAGCAACTAAAACCCCAAACTATATAATGGTTTTTAGATATTCAGTAATGGGCAATGCAGTACAGGGATGAGGGGGAAGAAACAAGGTGAGCCTTATAATAATCTGGGCTTACTACCTGAAGACAGCTTCCGGGCAGCTCCACAAGAAGGAGAAACCCAGGTGCAGCCCAGCGATCTTCCTGAACTGAGATGGCACTGGGGTTCAGGGAGGTCCAGACTAGAGTGTGCATGGCAGAGGACTGCAGAGGAGAGAGTTGCGCAAAGAGTATGCCACAGGTTCCCAAAGGATTTGCCCTGAGTTCTCTGCTGAATACTGACCAGTGCACATAGAAAAGAAAACTACTCAACAATGAAGGCAAGAAAGAAGGAAAGAAAATGATAGATTAGAAGGAAAACCAGCCACATCAAGTCAAGAAGAGTTTGTGTTCTTACTAATCAGAATAGAAAAATCTTGTAACTCATAGAGTAAGGAGAGTGCTCATGGGATAGTGGTGTGTAGTTCTAGTGAAGAAATATTAGCCCTAAAAATGATGCACCAATCCTACCTGACAAAGCTGTAATGGTTTAGGTCTAATATGTCCTCCAAACCCATGTGTTCAGAGGTGGAACTTTGGAAAATGGATCATAAAGGTGCTAACCAATGGATAAATTCACTGATGAATTCATAGCTGAATGTGCTGTCAGGAGGTGGGGCCTGGTTGGAGGAGGTGGGTCACTGGAGATGTAACCTGCAGGGTTGTATTTTTATTTCCAGCCCCTTTTTTTCCCTCTCTCTTTGGCTCTTCCCTACTCCCTGGTTCCTGGCTGCCATGGTTTGAGTACCATTCCTTTGCCATGCTCTTCTGCCATGATGTTTCTTCCTTGAAGCCAGCCAGCCACAGACTGAATCCTCTGAAACTGTGAGCCAAAATAAGCTTTTTCTCCTTTAAGTTTTATATGTCAATTATTTTGTCCTAGCAATGGAAAGGTGACTAATACAAAAACTTAATGCAAGCCTCAAAAAGATAAAAATATTTTAAGTAATTTAATTATGTCATTGAATACAACTTAAGAATGTTTATGTGAATATAAAATACACAAATATAAAAATGAATGTTTATGTGAATGTAAAATACGTGAGTATAAAACTATCTACTACCTGAGAAAATAAAATTTACAATGTCAAGAATCCAATAAAAATATTAGCAGGCTGCAAAGAAACAGGAAAACGTGATCCACAATGAGAGGAAAAATCAATCAACAGGGGATAATAAAAAACAAAATGACACACATAACGGAATTAGTAACAGAGACATTAAAACTACTTTAAGGTCAAGAAGGAATAAGCAAGTCTGAACATGTTAAATAGAGGCACTGAAGATAATATTTGAAGAAACAATAGCTAACACTTTTCCAAATCTAATGAAAACTCTAAATCTACAGATCCAAGAGCTCAGCAAACTTAAGAACAAGTACGAGGAAAACTATACCAAGACATATCACCATCAAATTGCCTAACAATGGTAGCAAAGACAAAAACCTTTCATAGCAACATCCATTCATAGCAGCCAGAGTAAAAAGGCATATTACATAGAGATGAAAAAAGATAAGAATGACACAAATTTCTTGTTGGAATTAATGTAAACAAGCAGACAGAGAAAAAACATTAAACCACTGGAAAACAAGAAAAACCAAAACACTGTCAATCCAAAATTCAATATTCAGTGAAATTAAAGGCAACATAAAGAATTTATGAGACACATAAAAGCTAATGACAAAAAGAAAGATAATAAAAGATGGAAGTTTAGATCTATAAAAAGGCAGGCAAAACACTGGAAATGGCAAATATAGACATGGCAATAACAGCAAATATAAATAAATAAAAAACTTATTTAAAATCCCTTTAGGAGATAATCGACTTTAAATCAAAAATAATAACAATGTATGATTTGGTTTATAATATATACAGAGGTAAGTTAGATGACAATAGCAGCACAAAGCCAGGTGGCGGGTAATGGAAGTATACAACTGCATAGTTCTTATACAATAATTGAAGTGTTATATAACTACTTGGCAGGAAACTGTGATAGCTTAAGTGTATATTATAAACTCTAAATCAACCACTAAAATGTCAACATCAAACGACAGAGCTAATAAGACTGTTAAAAGGTACACCTCTAAATAACGATGAGCCAAAGAAGTCAAAATGGAAATTAGGAAGTATTCTGAACTGAATGGAAATGAAAATAGATCAGAATTTGGAGAAAACTAATTAAAGTACCATTTGAAAGGAAATGTAGGCACTAGGGGCACAGCTCAGCGGTTAGAGTGCTTGCTTAGCATGTGCAAAAGCCCTAAGTTCAATTCCCAGCACGATCAATCAATACTGATGCTTGAAAAGGAGAAAATTCTCAAGTTAATGAGCATAGTTTCCTTACTCAGAAATTAGACAAAGAAGAGGAAATTATGACTAAAATTTAATCATAAAATTCTCAACTCAAAGGAAGACACAAAAAGAATCGGGAACAAAGAACAGATGTGAAATTGAAAAAATAAGTAGCAAGATGATAAATTTAATCATAATAATATGACAAAATACATGAAATGGAAATGGTCTAAAAACCTCAAACAGAAGGAAGAGATTGTCAGATTGGATTTTTTAAAAGAGCAACATCCAAGTGTATGCTGTCTTTAAAAAGCACTTTAGGGCTGGGGATTTAGCTCAGTGGTTCTGGCACCTGCCTCACAAGCGCAAAGTCCCAAGTTCGATCCCCAGTACCAAAAAAAAAAGCACTTTAAATATAAAGACATAGGATAAAAGTAAGAAGATATACCAGTCTAACAGTAAACAAAAGGAAGCTAGACCACTTTTATTATCAGATGAAGTAGATTGACAGCAAAAACTATTACCAAAGATAAAGAGGGATATTTCATAATTTCAATTTGTTAGAAAAAATAATAATTCTAAACATTTATGCACCTAATAACAGTGCTTCATAATAGTCATGCAACAGGAACTAGTAGGTCTGAAGAGAAATAAACAAATCCACAATTACAGAGATATTTCAATATCCCCTTCTTAACATACAAGAAGAACATACATAGGAGACTTGAACAACACTATAAATAAGCATGAACTAATTGGTAGAAAATTCCATCCAAAAACAGCAGAAGACATAGTCTTTTCTAGTGCACACAGAGCATTTATTTTTAAAAAGACAATAGGGCCTCAGATTTAGCTCAGTGGCATCACGGCTGCCTCGCAAGTGCAAGGTCCTGAGTTCAATCCCTGGACCAAAAAATAAAAATAATAAATAATAAATAAATAAATAAATAAAAAGACAATATTCTGACCTACAAACCAAATTTAAAGAATTTGAAATGATTCAAATGATATAAAGTACGTTCTCTGTCCACAATGGAATGAAACCAGAAATCCATAACAGAAAAGCCTCTGGAAATACCAAAAGTTTGGAAACTAAATCATATATAACCAAATAATCAATAGTCCCTAAAAGAAAGAAAAGTCTTTTGAACTGACTGAAATGGACACTACAACACACCAAATTGTGAATGCAGTTAAACCAATGCTTTCAGGGAAAATTACAGCACTTATCAAGTATGTTTTTTAAACGTCTGAAGTCAGTGAGCATCACCTTTCCTTTGAGCAACTAGAAAAACAAGAAAAAACCTAAATCTAAACTTATAAAAAAGAACATAACAACAGAAAACAATAGAGAAAAAAATCAATGAAAAACAACTTGAAACTAGTTGTATTTTTTAAAACCAAAATTGGACAGATGAGGAAAAAAATTAGCCACATTTCAACAATATCAGGAATGAAGAAGGTAATATAACTATTGATCCTACAAATATTAAAGTATACTAGACATATTATGAACAACTTCATGCTAATAAAATTGACTACTCTGAAAAAATGGACAAATTCCCTGAAAGATACAACAACCAAAGCCCACTCAAGAATAAATAGATACTTGAATATCCCTATATTTATTTTTAAAATTGGGTTTGTAATTTTAAGGCAGTCTGCAAAGAAAATTCTAAGTTCAGGTGGCTTCATTGGTGAATTTTACCAAACATTTAAGGGACAAATAACATCAATTCTACACAAATGTTTTCAGAAAACAAAAGAAGAATACTTCTCAATTCTTTTTATGAGGTCATCATTATCCTGATACCAAAACCAAATATAGTCATTACAAGAAAATTATAGCCCCATACTCCTCATGAACATTAATGCAAAATTTTCAAAACCTAGCAAGCTGAATGCACCAGGATATTAAAAGGATACTGCACCATGGCCAAGTATGGTTTGTCTCAGGATTACAAGTTGGTTTAACATTCAAAACATCAATCAATTTGGGTGTGGTGGCACTTGGGAGGCTCAGGCAGGAGAATTACTGTGAGTTCCAGGCCAGCCTGGGCTACACAATGAATTCAAGGCCAGCCTAAACTACATAGCAAGACCCTGTCTCAAAAAAAAAAAAAAAAAATCAATCAATGAAACTCACCATATTAATAGTAGTCATAGTACAACCATTTCAATAGGTGTAGAAAAACAATTACTTGACAAAGTCAACAGTCTATTCCTGACAAAAATTCCTTGCAGACTAGGAATAGATGAAAATTCTCAATGTGCTATAGTTAATCTATGAAAAACTATCAACTAATATTTATATTTAATGATGGAAACTAAATCCTTTCTTTCCAGAATCAGGAACAAGGTGAGGTTTCCTGCCCTCACCATTTCTGATCTAACCACAACAATGAAAAAATAAAAAGAAATAAAAGGAACAAGTATTGCAAAGGAAGAAAAAAAATAATTCCTTACTTGCAGAAAATCTAATGAAATATATTAAAAAGTCACCTGAATTAATAAATGTGTCTAACAAATTCTAAATTCAAGTAGCTCAACTGGTAAATTCTATCAAATATTTAAGCACAAATAATACCAATTAAAGATGAATATGGGGCCGGGGATTTAGCTCAGTGGTTCTGCCACCTGCTTTGCAGGCCAAGATCCCAAGTTCGATACCCGGTACCAAAAAAAAAAAAAAAGATCAATATAAAAATGATCTGTATTCCTAAATACTAGCAACAAACAATCAGAAATTTAAATGTAAAAAATATCATTTTTATGGCATAAAAATATAATATACTTATGGATAAATCAGACAGAGATATGCTAACCTGTATTTAGAAAACTATACAATATTTCTGAGGAGAAGTAAAGAAGACATAAATAAATGGATATAGAGTGTTCACTGATAAGAAGACTATATTGTTAAGATCTCAATTTTCTTCAATATAATCTGAAGACTCAATGGAAATTCAACAAATTTCCTACATTCTTTTTGCAGAATTTGAAAGCTGATTTCAAGTTCATCTACAAATGTAAAGGATCCAGAAAAGCCAAAACACCTTTGAAAAAGACAAAGGAATTTAGATTGAACTATCATAATACAATCAGTGTGGTTAAAAAAAAAAGATCAGTGGAACATAACTGAGAACCCAGACCTAGAATCATACCTAATATATTGTCAATTGATTTTTGACAAAAGTGCAAAGGCAATTCAATGGAGGGAGAACAATAATTTTAAAATAGTACTAGAAAAATTCCACATTTGTATACATAAAAAGTACCTCAGTATCTCATACCATATATAAAAGTTAACTCAAATGAATCAAGACATAAGAAAACATAAACACTTCCAATAAAACACAAAGAAACTGAGTATGACCTTGGATTAGACAAAGAGCTTTTTAAAAATGCAACATCAAGAAACATGACAGATGAAAGAAATTTTTGACAAATGATACTTCACCAAAATTAAGAACATGTCTTCTTCACAATATATTGTCAAGATAATGAAAAGATAAATCACAGGGAAAATCTTTGCAGATCACATGTCTGAAAAAGAATTTGTATCTCACAATTCAACAATAAGGAAAAAACTCAATCCAACAAAAAATGGGTGAATAATTAACAGATACTTCAAGCAGATATATGAATAGCAAATAAGCAAATAAAAATGCTTAATATCAATTGTCAACATGGACATGGAATTTAAAAGCACAACATAATACCAGTACCCAAGTCTTAGCACACTAGCATAAAAATGGACTATATCAAGTGCTGACAAAAATGTGGAGGAATTGCAATGGTCATACACCACTAGTGTAAATTAACAGGGCACAGCCACTTTGAGGAAATTTGCCAATTTCTTAAAAAGTGAAACAAAAATCAATATACAGACCAGACATTTCACTTTTAGGTACTTATCCAATATACATAAAAGCATGTATGTACACAAAGCCTTATATGTGAATATCCACAGCAGCTCCATTTACTACTAGCTCCAAACTGGAAGCACCTCAGATGTCCACTAGCTGATGAATGGATAAACAACATAATATATCCATACAATGGATATTTACTTAGAAATATAAAGTAACGATCTACTGATACATGCAACAATATGAATTAATCTCAATATAATTATTATGAGAAAGAAGAGAGAAAAAATATATAGTATGAATCCATTTATACAGAAATCTAAAAAGTATAACTAACCTATAGTGATAAAAAGCAGATTAGTAGTTGCCTGAGGACAGGAGGTAGTAGCCTAGAATTATAAATGGGTATAAGAAAACTTTTGGAGGTGATGGATATGTTCATTAATTTGATTGTGATGATGGGTTCATAGGAATAATATATGTCAAAACTTATCAAACTGTATACGTTAAATATGTACAGTTTATACTATATAAGTAACCTCTCAAAAGAGCTGTAAAAAATAGGTATGATCATCCAATTGTCAGTCATGTAGTTTCTCTCATAGTGCTGGTTTTTGTTATATAAAATAGATCAGCTATATCTATCCCATTTGAACCAATGACCTTGCATAGTTCTGGCAAAAGTCAAGTTTTCCCTGAAAATGGGCTGGTTCTCTGCAGTATTGTAGGAGTTAACACGACAAGTGTCTTTAACCAAGAGTGGAATTAACCAAGAAGTGAAATAGCAAGTTGTAAGGTATCCAAATTGATGCAATCTGGTGAGCAGTGGTTTTGACAATGGTCATGATAATAGAATATAGAAGTGAAAGGGAAATGAGAGAGAGGTGCAGGAGGAGGAAGGAAAAATGATCAATGAGATTAAGAATTAAGACAGTAGGAAGGAAAGGAAAAAGGGGAAAGCTAGAATGATAAAGGGAGTAAGAAACCAAATTCTCATTCACTCTTTAATTTTGAGTCACACTAATCTCTTTACGGCGTCTCTGGATAGATGATCAATACTTGAATTATTTCCATAAACTAATTTAAAAGAGTATTTGAAAATAAATTCCTTTATCTTACAGAAATGCACTAGATACCAAGTCAGACAAATTACAGACTATTTTTACTGATTTTCCAGGTATCTATTGCAAAACAAGGTACTACCAACCAATTTATAGTACTGTGGTAGAGTCACTTTTATACCATTGTTGCCCAGTAATCTTTTAATTCCTGTGTTATATGCAATTATGGTCTGATATGATAGAGTTGGTCAGAGAGGTAGAGCAAGAACAAAAATAACAAAATAACCAGTTGTTACAGGGTTTTTTATAGAAGCATGAATCTTCCAGTTCCAACTCTAAATGTTAAAACTAAATCTATTTTATTTTCCTCTTCAGAAAGTTCATTCAAAGTAAATCCACATTTGTTTTTAGCAGTAAAAAAAAAAAAATGGTCTATAAAAAATCTTTTTTCTTACCTTGACAAAAATGGTTGAATTGCATTCTTGCAATGCCTCCATTAAACTAATCACATGGAGACACACCATTTCTACCATCTGAAACAACAAATACAAAAGTTAGTTCCACTCCCAGGGACAGGGAAATCATGAGAGCTAGTCACAGCTGCCGAGGACAGAAGCCCTGTGCCCAGGATGTCTTTCCGCATAACAGGCATGGGGGAACCACAGGGAGTGATTTCCATTTACTTCTAAAACTTCAAACCAGAAAGAAAATTTTAGAAAGCTCCCTAGGTTTTGCAATTGCCATTCCTTCCTCACTCAACTTGGCTGCCAAGGGAACTCAAGCATGGACTCACTAATCTGCGCTGCACGATGACTCACACCAGAGGACAAACGGCTTCTGCTTCCTCATTTCCAGCTGCACAACTCTCCAGGCTTAGGTCTTTTTCTCTACTTTGATCCTTTCTCCACTGCTTCTCATCAGGAATAGCAGTTTAGTTTACTACAGACCTGCCTCTGAAGACTTACTCTGTATGGAACAAGGCAGCCATGCTTACTGCAGTTGAAAAGTACAACACAAATGATATCCTTCATCCGAAATGCCTAAGGCTGAATTTTAAACACTCCTGGTGGATTCTACCAGACTGGTGTATACGGTCTAACAACATATTCAGAATAAAATTAATTTAAATTCATTTGGAAGAAATTCACTAGCAACACGTTCATTTTTAACATCTGAATATTGAGAATGATTTGGAGGAGGGCATTACTAGTGTCAAAAAAACTAATGACAGTAGAACTAAAATTTTAATCTCCAGTTTAAGTGTAAGGTCCCAGTATTACTGCCTGTAAAATAACAGAACAGAATGTTGATCTCCAAGTTCTCCTCTAGTCCTAGAATCTGTAATCCAATAAATATAATTATCCCCATAGCAGACATAACTGTTGGTGGATCCTAAATTTTCCATACAAATTTCCTGTATTTAGAACTAACATATCTCTCTCTACATAACATCACAATGTCTACTTCTCTAAAGAAAAGAAAGTGCTTAATTAAAGGAAATATATAATCTCCTTTCTAATAAGAGCTAAGAGAAAATATTTCTTAGACTAACATTCAGACAATTAACAAATCATGTCCAAGTGTCTTCAGCAAACAGGGAAGTAAATATTCAGTTTCCGGCACACAGGGATCACCATCAGGATGGACTCCCAGGTTCCTTCCTCTTCACTGACAAGATTTCACTGATGGTACCCTCTTAACCAAGACAGGGCTGCTGTCTTCCCAGCTGAGACTCCTCATCCACTCTTGCAAATGAAACCCAGTGGCCTCTTGTAAATTCCTTTCATATGGTCTCTAGCTGACTAGGGAGGACCAGCTCAAGCCTGTTCAATGAAGTGGGCTCAAACCAACCACTGCCCAGATATTTTGCAGTGCAGTCTGCAGCAGCCCCTCTTGGCAAGCCATCTACACTGCAATGAAGGTGCAGTTTGAAGCTTACTTATCAGGCCACACAGAAAGGTGAGGCTCTTTTCAGATTTTAAGCCCTAAGAATTGTGGGCAGTCTGATTTTAAACCATCACCAGCAAAAAAAAAGATGACCTAATGGGCTATTCCAATTGCTTTGGAATCCAAAAACTATTTTGGTCTCCCTCCTAACACTCTGATTTTATAACACCAAATCACCTTAAAGATAGAAATTTCATATGAAGTTCATTTGGTGTTAGTTAGGAGATACAAAATTGTTATTTGTTTGGGGGTTTTAAAGTCTTTATGGTATACAACATGATATTTTGATACATATATATGTTGTAAAATGGTTAAATAAGCTACTAGCACATGTATTATTTTACATATTTGTCATTTTTGTGGTGAGAACACTTAACATCTACTCTCTTAGCAATCTTCAAGAATGGCCACCATGATGTACAGTAGATCTCTTGAACTATTGTTTGTTTTTCAACCAAAATTCTTATGCAAGTAGAACATACAGATTATACCATGACAAATCACTGATTCACTTGTATACTTTTATGACTGAGGTCTGTAAAAAACCAGTAGCCTGAGAGACCAGGAGTGGGATTGTACCTCAAAGGGGAAACATCTCATGAACTCACCACTTTGTTATGCGCCATTAGCTGAAGTATGCTCGGCGTCACCCTACTCCAAAACTCTAGTGCTGTCAATATTGCCGTGAAGCTGAATTCATTCTGATTTTGAACATTTGTAGCTACGGCACTTTGTTCACAATACACTGTCCAGAGCTGAGCAAAGATGAATGCGTGGAAGAGGGAGCACATGTGGAGCACAGAAGTCTGGAAAGGAAGAAAACCAGGCATCAATGTTCTGTGTTCACAGACTGTGCCCTTGTCAGGGAGCATAGCCGGAGCATGAAGCATGAGAGAGTTATCTCAGTCACAAACTGTGATTCCTCACTTTGAAACAATCAGCTCCTCACTGTCAGGGGGAGCACACTCACAGAAGAAAGCATCTTTTCAAAGAGGAGGCACCTTAATTTACAGAAAAAGGCAGATACCACCCCCTTCCCCTTTAATGAAAATAACATTCCCATCCCTAAACTAGATCAGGAAGAATAATCATGTTACCATTTTAGGATGTTTCTTCATCTGTAAAATAGTAGAAAGAAATGGCATGAGAAGTAAATGAGGTAATATGCATGATGCACTGCCCAACACTGACCAATGGTAGCAGCAGCAGCAGCAGTAGCTAGAGCACTCTTACCAATGGTGAGCCTGCAGGTAGGATCAGTGCTGAAAGCTTTCCGGAGGTCACTTCAATACTTCTCAAACCTCACCTACTTTACAGATGAAATCTGAAGCTCAGAGAGGTTAAGTCACTTTTTCAAGCTCACAAAATTACACATACCATTGTTCAGATTCAAACACAGACCTGGGAAAAAACAGGAGGAACCGACTGCCTGATTCCTTCTGCAAACAGCATTCAGGTCATTTAGGGGGAGCTCTATTTTATCACATAGTCAGCTTCCCCTAAATCCCATCTGCCCCCCAAACTTACCTCGACCTCCCAGAACTTGCCCAAGATCAGGGAAGGGCTGTCGTTTCTTTGTAGCTGATTAGTAGTATCTGGTTTGTATGTATGGCCCCATGAATGATGCCTGCCTGGAGTTTATTCATCCCCTTAAGCACATCAGCTGTCTCTACAGTTTACAAAATTCTTCTGTCTAGGTGATTCCAGTGTGGGCTTTAATAAGCTTCTCACTGACCTTCTTATTTTTATGTTTCTCTAGAGGTCTGAGTTGAAAAGATAGTGCATAAGGAATGAGATAGAACATAAATTCTCCTCTAGTTCATCCTTGGTTCTGAAAACTGGTCATGGGATTTTTATTACATTCCTAGGCTTTTATTTCTCTTCATTATTTAGAGACAGAAAGGCCTGAGAAGCCAACTCTAGCTTGCCTCCATAATTTATCTTCATAAAAATAAGCCAGAAAACAATTTAGGGAGAAAAAGACAGTCTGAGAATCTAAACAACTTTAAATTAAGCATTAGCACAAAGTTGCTTTTCTAACAACCACAGGGGGCAAGTGACAAGATGCATTTACTTGTCAGAAGAAGCATAATTGGCTGATAAGGGTTTCCATTAGCAATTTCCATGCATATGGTCCTAATCTTGAAGAAATTACTTACCTTTGATTGCTCCGGAAATCCAATCAGGATAACAATAAGATGGTCTGCAATGTGGGAACCTGCATCCAGAGGTATGGGGAGGCAGGGAGAGGAGGCATTTGGACACACTGCATTATGAGTAAGGGAACCCAGAAGCAGCCAGGACAGCAAACGGATGTGGGAGACACACTCAATGAATTCTTTAGGTCTGTTGGAGAAGGAAGAGTTAAAGAAAGGATTAAAATGTGGTCTTGTAGATAATCAAATACAATAAAACACCAAGGCAATAGTGCGCTCACTAAATGACACATTGGTTTTTCTTGTTTTCCACTCTAATCCTAGATCTTAGCTTCTTAAGCAAAGAGCAGCCTTTGGTGACACAGCATTAGGTAGCATTCTTCTGTGGCCTGGCAGTCCCTCTGACTGGCCTTTTCTGAACCCTTTCCTCTCCTCTCTTCATAAAGTTCTCTGACACGCTCACCAGAGCGGACGGAACAGAAGAGCAGACATGCCTCCAACCACACATTTTCCTGCTAGTACAACTTTCTTCTCCTGTTCTCCTCACCTCCCAGTCTGACCTTTCCTCTCCAGGAAGGCTACCCTTGCAGAAGGGCAGGCTCGAGCCTGCTGAGTTCCTAAAGAAACCAGCCTGTGCTTGCCTCTCTCTTCTGCAGCCTCACCTACAGGCAGGTTTGGGGCTTGCACCTCCTTGCACTCTATCCCTGCTGTCACTTTCATTTCAGCTACAAGCTAAGATGCTTGAAAGCAGGGGTCACATAGCGCTGGATACTTACCTACTATTGATCTATTTAACCAGTTGAAATTGAATTAAGTAGTAGTTCTAACCTTTAAATTTTCATTATCCATGAGGATGACTAAGGCTTTTGCAAGTATAAGGGTAGCACATCACAAAGTGTTCAGGGTCAACAAGTCAGTACAAAGATGGACCCTGACCTTCATCTTCCTCACCATGCATATCCCACACTCACAAACCTTCAGTGCATTTGCAAGCTCTGGTTGAGCCCCAGAAACTCAGGGGTGTTTCCTGTCTTATTTATCTCCCTCCAACCCTGGAATAAGAATCTTACCCTTGCTGCATTGCAGAAGGAGGGTGATAGAGCCAAGGCAGGTAGCGGATTACAGCTTTGTTATCTCTGTGGTTGCCCCGGGAGATTTCCATAGCTGCAATTTGAGCCAGGCCAACTTTGAGATGTCCACCAAAGGTATCTTCATGCAGAGGCTGGGAGCATGTCTTCATGTGGCTCTGCAAAACCAAATGATATTTTGTAACTCTGGCAGACCCCTGGAGACTTTTCGGGGCCAGTCTTTTAAAGGATCAGGCTGTCCTTCCCCCAACTCCTATCAACACTTCAAACATACAACCTACCTAAACTTTTTCAATGGCTTCACATTGTTTTCAGGATAAAGGAGGAAAAGTTGCTTTGCATGGCCTACACAGCCAAAATAACCTCCTACTATAGTCTCCGCATCTCACCCTTCATCCATCCTGGGCTGGCTCTGCCATCCCCACCCACCCCCAGCCCCTACCCTGCTGTTCCTCTCCTTTCTCTTCTCAGCAAATTGTTCAGATTTTAGCTCAAGTGTCATTTCCCTTAGAAACCCTTCCCTGAACTCTGTGATTGGTCCCTGCCACTGACCATTTCTTCTTCATAGTAATTGTGAGAGTCACAATTTTACATTAGCTTGTATGAAATGTTCACCAAACTTCGCCTCCTGGTAGACTCTAACCCTAAATGACGGCAGCTACGTGTTTGTTTTTGCTTGTCACTGCAACTCCAATGCCTAGAACAGTACCAGACACATTATGGTGTTCAATGCACATTTGCCAAATTAATTTTGAAAGCTTTCTTTGCTCAGGAACTTAAGACCTAGGTTCTAGACCAGTTCCGTCCTAATCAGCCACGTAGCCTCAGATAAACCACTTGTTACTTGACCTTTTTTTAAATATGTAGAAAGTCAGGAGGTTGGACTATGTCCATAGTTCTCAACTTTTTAATCATTATGGATCTCTCTTAGTATTCTTCAAAAGTATCCATAAAACAAGCTCAAAATGTTTGAGTGATAATTGTTTCCTCTTCTTTCTGCATCAAAGTTATTTAAGTATGGCAACGCGATTCAGCAATCAGTAACTTGGATGTGACCAAACTTAGAAATGACTAGGTCTAGACATGGTGAAAAATTATCAGCTTAAGTTTTTTAAATTTTTAAAAAATTTTTTTATTTCTATTTTTTGGTACCAGGGATCGAACTCTGGACCTTGTGCTTGTGAGCCAGGCACCAGAAACACTGAGCTAAATCCCCGGCCCATATCAGCTTAAGTTTTGATTCTCCTTGACACTTAGCATGTATAAATCTATCACTACACCAAGAAACACTCTGATTGTCCAGCAGAGTCTTAGTGAAGCTGAGCTCGGTGAAGAGGGAGCTATGTTCTTTAGCTGAACTTCCGGCATCACTAGATTCCTGTTTATCAAAAAGGAATCATTTAGTGCCAGATTGCAATTTGGCTGCTCTCTGGACTATATTTGGATTCTCATCTGCCCACTGTCCAGGACCTTCCTACAATCCCCTACATTATTAATTTTTTAGCTCCCTGAGTGAATAATAGCAGAGAAGTGGACCTGCATCAGTGATTCATCCCATCCTGCAAAGCAATCAATAAAATCAACAACTTCACTGGGATTTTGTCCATATGCAATTTAAATTTTGTTCTGTCCCTCTTCTTTATTTTCTTGAAGAAGATGGCTTCTATGCAGATAATAATAAATGGCTTATGTTTGCATAATTTGCCATAGTTTAAGAAAGTCTCTTCACATACGTTATTTTATATCAGCCTTATCATAGTCTGAGAAGGGACTTACAGACTTGTTTTGCAAATGAGGTCACTAAATTTCAAGAGTGTTAAATGAATCTATGTGGCACAGTGAAAGGAGAACGAATTAGGAGTCATAACAGCCTTAAATTCAACTCAGACTTCATTACCTACTAGTACGACATCATCCTGAGCCTCAGTTTCCACATTGGTAAAATGGGGATAATATTGTAATAGGGACATTGTGAGAACTAAATAAATGGTAAAAAATAAAGCCTATGCATAAAGCTATTGCCAGGTGAATATCCTTTCTTTTCTTTCCTTCTTTGAAGAACTTGATCCTGGTCCTTCAGAACACCAAGAAATAGGTTCATTCAATGGTGTTGTAGCTGCCCCCTAGGCAACAATAAATTCCCATATGGTTTCTAAAAATGTCCCTGTATTGTATGACCCTAAGAGATGAACAGGCAGAAGCTGTCTTACCTTCAGCTTGGTTAGTGTGTGCATGTCAGCCATAAAATCCAGCACTTCACTGATGTACTGCCGCATACACTCCATCGCCGCAGTTCCACACTGAAACATAAGGACATGCCTGGGCCACAGCCTCATTTTTCACCAACTGCAATGACTATCTCACCCCAGTTGTGCACTGTTTACTAAGGAGTTGTCTCACTTTCTGGATTTCTGACTCACTCCACTACTCTCCGCATAGTCTGTGATTGTGTGCTCACAGGACAAGAATTGCTAAAAGGTTTGTGGGAGAGAGCAAAGAAATAGGGGAGGCCTATGGGAGACAGAATTAAATGCTGTTTCCACTGGGTAATTAACTGATTAAAATACATGCTACCAAATTCCACCAACAGAATCATATATATTAAACATGGTGTTTGCTGAGTCAAAAATTCTCATATTCAAGTCATGTCAAGTTCTTGCTGGAGATAAATAAAAGAAAGAAACTAAATTGTTATCTTCCCCACATAACTTGAAGTATGTTTGGGAAGTTTTAAAGGAAAAGAAAGCATGCTTGTGTTGTAGGTTATTAAATGGCATGCACTTGCTCTCTCAGGGAAATGCAGCCCATTTAGGATTATACCAAAGCAAAGGAAAGTGGACAGACAGGCTGCTACATCAAAGCCATATGAGAGAACCCACACAGTAAGCTGGGTACAATGGGGATCAAAAGCAAGCAGTCTTTTGAAGCCATATGAATACTATGCTAAAGGGCTCTCTGGGCTTTCTTTAGGAAAATCTGGAACATTATGTACTTAACTAGCTCACCCAGTGGCTCTCATTTTCCCATATTCATGTAAATCTGGGTAGCACTGAACTATATCACCTCCTCTCTCTTCTAGAATGTTACGCTTGTCAGTTCTTCTGACAGGATAACAAACAGTAAAATAAGGTCACTGGCAGTCTGTCAGACTGTTTTCCAAGCATTTCATATGTTCTCAGGTTTTCTTCTTTTAATTTAAATAGTGAAGGAATTATAAAAGGTTATTGTGTTCCTGCTTTTGCAATATGAACCCTTTAGTGCAAGAAGGATCCCCCCAATTTATTCCATTTTCTCTGACCTTTCACATGCCATGCAAATAGGAGCATGGATGCTGTTCTTTAATTTCTTGAAAGGGATTTGTTTCTTTTATAGGCAATATTTTATATCAGTTCAACCAGGAAAATGTCACAGAAGATAATTACTAGTGGTATTATTCAATATTGGCTTTTTAAATTTCACTCACGAGGAATGAGAGCAAAGAAATTATTATTGTATCATAGTTACTGTATTCTAGAGACAGCAACTACATTCAGTAAAAGACTGAAAATCCACTTTACAGTCAGGAGAATCTTTGGGAGTCATCTGTACTAGTAAAAGAGAGCATATAATTTTTCATCCTCCTTTTTACTTTGCAAAACTTAAATATAATGTTAGATGTATTTTTTAAATGAACAAACATAAGGAGTCAAGCTCCACTTGTTTCAGAAGGCCAATATTTATTTCAGTAAGAAAACTGATGATAAAGCAGTCAAAAACATATCCTAACCTTAAATACATGAATTGAAGCAAATCACATCCAATTCTTCTTAAAAAATATATCTGACTCTTTTATTTTGGGTACTGGGGATTGAACTTTGGACCTTTCGCTTGCAAGACAGGCAGCAGAACCACTGAGCTATATCCCCGGCCCTAAAATATATCTGATCTTAATAAAATTACATTTCTTAGATTACAGAAATAACATACGTTCACTGTAGAAAATTTGGAGAATACAAGTTACTAAGAATGATTAAAATCACCATAATCCTACTTCTTGTCTTCCACCTCTGTGAAAACCACTGTTAATATTTCTTCCCAAGGTTTCTGAAATGCACATTTTATATATATATCATATATATATTGATATATGATATATATATCAATATATATATGAAATCATCTTATCATATATATCATATATACATGAAATAACTTTTCCCTAACTTGCTTTTTAGTTACATCCATCATAAGCATTTTCCAATTAATTAAATATTCTTTGGAACCTTGATGTGGTGGCCACATAACAGTGTATCATATGGCTCACATTACTTTATTTAAACAATACCTTAGTGATGGATATTGATTTTTGTGTCCATGTTTTTCGTATTTTAAATGGTGCTTTAATAAATATATATATATAAATCTTCTGGTGCATACTAATTTTCTCAAACATATTCCTAGAAGCAGATTGTGTTGAATACCTTTTTTTTTTTTTTTGGTACTGGGGATTAAATTGAAGACCTTCAGCCTTCAGGTGTGGTGCCACTGAGCTAAATGTCCCACCCTCCTAGAGAACATTGTGAAGCTGGCCTCCAGCAAGGTTGGTTTCACTACCACCAACCAATAGCCTGGGGTCTATCCCTAGCACTACTAAAAAAGAAAGAAAAAAAATCTCCTGAGAGAAGGAGAAATTGGGAAGCATTAGCTGAAGGGTACAAAGTTTCAAGTACACAGGGTAAGTAAGTAAGTTCTAGAGCTCACCCCTCTAGCACATTGCCTATGGATAGCGATGCTACTTAAAAATTTGCCAAGAACGCCAATCTTTTTTTGTTTTTGTTTCTGTTTCGTTTTGTTTTGTTTGGTACCGGGGATCAAACTCTGGACCTTGCGCTTGCAAGGCAGGCGCCAGAACCACTGAGCTAAATCCCCAGCCCAGAACGCCAATCTTATACAAAGTATTCTTTGGTCAAGTAAATAAGCTGGTGAAAGAAACTTTTGGAAATGACAACATGCATAGATTATAGTGATGATTCCACACAAATTAATAAGGTGATGTTTTTTAAAAAGAAAGAAAAGCCTCTGATCTACTAGCAAGTTTTTACTTTTATATTTTCAAATATTTTTATATTTCATTTTCATTTTATTAATTTATAATTGATTGTGAGTGGGGTTTATTGGTCATCAGAAAGGGTTCTATATGTGAGTCCTATAATTATTGCTTTGTTATTGTTGAAATATTTATCTTTACTTAATTGATTCTGATAAATGTGTTGCACTTTAGTAATGTTATTTTTTTTCTAGCTATCCTATTGGTAGAAAATATTGAATTCTGGAGAATTAATCAATAAGGAAACAGTGAGGGTGCAGCATAGAGTGGCTTCTCCCCTACTTCTCTTTTTCCCTAGTACTTAAGTGGGCCACATTTTCCATCTTCTCTTCCAGGTAAGTGGGGTCGTGTGACTGGGTTCCAGCCAATGGAATGTGAGTAGAAGAAATATGTACTCCTAGACCTGAACCATGAAAATCTTCCATATACCACATTTTCTTTTCTTTTCCTAACTGCCAGCAATTGCAGAGGGCTGCACATGAGGGAAGGAGCCTGATCCCTGGGCATCTGTGTGGAAATCCCCTTTCCCTATTAATCAGTATAACCACTTTCACCTTGCATGAATGAACAATGTTTCTTTTGTGCTAAGTTGCTAAGATTTATCTGATAGCATCTTGCATTACCATAAAAATCTTTTTTAAAAACACAGTAAGGTAATTCTACTCCCAGAAATCTATTACAAAGAAATAGTCTAAATGGACAGAGTTAAGCACAAAGATGTTCCTTGCATATTAATTACAAATGCAGGCTACTGAAAATAACTAAAATATCCAACAATAGAAATGTTTGTGAACAATATTTGTAATAAATAATATTTATTTACTCGGCACTTACTATATGTCTGGCACCATGCTAGTAGGGTTACATGCATTATCTCAGTCCCTAACCTATATATTTGGCCATTATATCTCATTCTATAGATGACACAAATCAAAGGATTACAGGTTAAATAACTTTTGTAAACTCACACAGCGAGTAAACGGCAGATCTCAAACCCTGGACTGAGTCTAAAACCTACATTGTCAACTACCATTTCATGAAATATAGAAATGCAGACAATTAATCTGCTCAAGACTTACTCCAGGTACAGAGGCTATCATCTGCTTGCTCAGGATTGTTGACTCAGCTAATTTGGTTCCTGCATCTGCACAAATAAACTAATAAAAAAGTGAAAGGGATAATTATTTTAAGAGTATTTGGACAGTAATAAGTAATTTATAATTTTATTAACATGGCTTAAATTCATTGGTGTCTACTTTCATGACAGTCTGCCCTCGATACATAAGATTTGCTAATCAAGATAGTTCATCCCCATCAGCAAAGAACCAGTTTGAGCACAAAGACTTTTATTTTACCCAGAAAACCAAGTGGTACTCATATGGTGAATTCAATCAAGAAAGAAATAAACCACAGCAGCATTGTCAGAGTTACTCTGGGGTCATGCTACTTATCCTGTAGCACTTTTTAAACAGTTTCTGTTAGCACGCACTCATGGATTTTCATGACTTCTGTCATTATAGCATACTCACATATTCAGAAAATTGATCTCAGAGTGAGTAGCCCTCCTGTTTCTTCCTCAAGGGCCCCCAGGGTCTCTCTTCCTCCCCCCACTTCATTCAATGCCTCCTCTGTGTTGAGAATGACCCTAGTCCTGATACAAGCACCCACAGGACTTTTCACACACTCCCACTGTAACAGTCGTCACATTAGGAGGCAGTGACCTTAGAGTCTGTTTCTCAACCTTCTACAAGCTCTTCAAGAGCACAGACTTGATGCGCCTCTCCCCAGCACTGCTTTAGTGCTCAGCATCCTGGAGAGGCTCAGTAAGAGTTTATGAAATCAATTAATCAATTCTGACTTGAGATTATGTGGATGGACTTATCATGTTACAGTTTAATTTGCTTCATTACAGATTTTAACAGGTGTTTCTTACTTAATGCAACATCCAGCTATTCACTTATGGTTTTGGGGAAAAGTCAGACTGCAGCATTTGGTATAAGTAATTGGCTCCTGTTTCATTTCTCTCTCTTGGCCTCTGTGCAGCATCCCTGGCAAGTCTGGAATACCAAACTGCTGCTATGTGTGGTTCAGAGGCACTGAAGAAGCTTCAATGCCAACAGCTTTTTCTTCTCATTCATCTGGAAGGCACAGGGAGCTGATTGGGTTAAGACTAGGAGTGCAGCTAGGCAGGCTCCCTCCTATCAAACTGGGAGATAGCACAGGTTGGGGCAGTAGAGAAACCTCAAGAGCTCTGGAACAACTGAACAGAAACTGTTAATCCTTGGCAGGTTTTGGCTCATAACATGTAACTCTAATCCAAAGGCCTTCTGAGGCCAAGGGCCCTTACATGTCTTGTTCATGGTCAAGAGCTGGTCCTCAGGTGCAAGAAGTGTAATCCTCCATGAAAAACATTCAGGTTTGAGGGAGGGGCGCTAGACAGGCCTGTTCTGAGGGCTGTACAACAGGAGTGGACACAGATCTCATATTAACATTCTTGTCATTTCTAGTGGCTCCAAAGCTCATTAGGAAAAGCTAATAAATCCACTTGGTCATTTACTCTGAAGAGGAAAAAAAAAAAGTTGCAGCTGGGAATGCCTAAAATTTTCCATCATTTTATTCAGGACTTATTTCTAATACTAATATAAGGAAAGGTAACTAAATCAGGTTTTAAAAATGTTGAGCCTTTGGCTTTGGCCAAAACCTGGAGGTTAAAAAAAAAAAAGAAACTGTAGTATTTGGTAGAAGTACAGTGTGAAAAGAAGGAACACTTTCAACCCGACCTCCTGGCAAATAACACGTTTTCCCATAAAATGTATTTTGCAAAGCTATCTGAATCCACAATCTGAACAACTTATAACTATGTTCCAAACCTTGTTAGGACACCAGCATTCATCTTAATTAATCTCTTTACAAAAAAAGTGAACTGCATAGCCAAGAGAAACCATGGGGAAGACGGGGCCACATCGAATGTGTAAGGTATGGTAGTGCTTAGAACAGCTCATTTAGGAATGGTTGGAAGTCTTGGGTCCTCTAAAGTATGCTTGGATGGTCTTGTGGCCCTTGAGGATAAGACAGGATCTGAGAAGAAGCAAAACTTCAACCTGTCTTCAGCAGGTGCCTTTCCCGTGTGCCACATCAACAAAGAGGACCAAGAAGCACAAGTGAGCATGCTGTCAGTTTAGGGCCACACAGTGCCAGGATCTGATGTCAAACTCAAATGTCTGACCTATGATGATTCACACAAATCAAAATTAATAAAAAAATACCCTAAAAGTGATGAATGTATCTCAGAGAACCTAGCTTATGAAAGAGAGTTGAAGTACATGAGCTTCTAAAACAGTTCATTATTTTTTAGCAATACATTTTAATCTACTGTATTTTTACATCATATGTACAATTAAAACCTTAATATATCTTTCTCTCCATTTTATTATAGCTGCCAACCATGAACTGGAAAAAAACTTTATTATAATTGTATAGAACTTCTCAAAGTATAAAGATATATCTAAAATCAGAGGGGGGCATGTTAATTTCTGTAAAAGGAAGAACTCTATACTTCCAGAAAGTAATATTCCACTGAAATATGCACTCCTCCTTAAGTACAAAAGAATACAAAAGAAACACGATATCCATTATGTGTCATTACCAAATTCATTATCAGAATGACACCCAAAATAGTACCTCTACCTCTTATCCCATGGAGTAATAGGGTTATTACCAACTCAACCAATATTAATAAGCCCACAAGTAACTCTGTAAATTAAAAACAACAGATGTACCTCTGCCATTTCTTTGTCCTCCAGCCCACAACTAACCTATTTTTAAAAGAAAACCTTTTACAGACATGATTTCTCATAACTTGAATATTCAGGTATATCCCACAGAGTGGAGGTGGTACATGCAAATTATAAGAATATCTACTCTTGACACATAAAAGGAGCTGAGGAAATTCAATTTGATTTGAATTTAGTCTTTATGGTAACTTTTAATGGACTGTTGCTCTATGATGAAATCTCTCTTTTAATCCATCTCAAGAATAAGTATAATAACCTGTTACAAATCAAATATCTACTGCAAACCAGCAGAAGAGAAAAATGTTGTAAGGCAAGGCCAAAATGTCAGTAGATTTGAATTAAAATACATGATAATGCATCTGTCCAAAGTGCAGAAGGAAAACTATGTCCTGGTGGTTGACAATTTTAGATTCTGAAAAAGATAATTTGATTTGGCAAATTCTTTCTTGTCTCCATGCCTTCTTTTCTTTGAAAAAAATTCATTTGAGCATTTAAAGGCTTCTGACTTCATTTGTAAGTAAAAACAAGTAACAACAACCATGACCAGACAACCTATATAACATGAAATTTCCCATAATGCCACGCATCCTGGAGGAACTTACAGGAATTAAAAACAGACTGGGGGCCAGGGATTTAGCTCAGTGGTTCCATCGCCTGCCTCACAAGTGCAAGGTCCCGATTTCGATCCCCAGTATCAAAAAAACAAAACAAAACAAAACAGATTGATACCTTTTGCTGCCTTGAAATGTTTAGGCCTTGAGTGAGCCCACATTCTTGAGCACATATTCTTGAGCACATCCTATAAGGTGTCTCTCTAATGCCAGAGTGTTTCATAAACAACAAAGGTATGGCCTAAGAGAAGAATATACATTTCCATCTCATCCAGCTACTAAGATATTAATTAGAGCAATGGTAGATGCAATGCCCTAGTCCCTCCTTACAGGGTAAAGTGTGAATGGTAAACCTTGTATTGGAGCAACTGATTCTTTTCTCCTTAATAGAGCCAGTGGCATTCATAGATCACCAGGTAAGTTTTCTACCAAATTATCATTTTCATTTCTGTTTCCAAATTGCATTTTCAGTTAAACAGATACCTACTTACTGCCTTCAAATGCTGGCCACTGATCCCCACAAGGGAAGTCCCTGTCTGTCCTCACTGTCCAGACCATGAGCCTTGTTGCCCAGGCGCCAGGGATGACACTGCCCATCAGTAAAAAGGAAAGCTTCCCTAGAGTCCGGCCTAGATCCTCTGATCTAAGAGAAGCTACAAGGGTGAAGGCAGCCACCTCCACCATGCTTTAGAGAATAGCTCAAGAACCCAGCCAGCCAAGGGCAAGAGAAAAAGAAATTGAGAAACTACAGAAAGATGCACAGCTCACAGAGAGACAAATGTGCTTCTCCTTCACCCCAAGGAGGACTTCTCTCCATGACTTGGGCAGGACCTCAGAGCAGAAAAGGAAATTGCTCTATTGTTAAGGTATCTCACTTTATTTCTCTCATTAGTAATAAAAATTATTTAACTCCAAGAGTTTATAGGAGAAGAACGTGTTACTTCAAAATGGCATGATGTTTAGTTTTTTTGTTTTTGAAGTACTAGGGATTAAATCCAGGGCCTTCACATGGAGCTACATCCCCAGATCTTTTTAAAATTTATTTTGAGACAGAATCTCCATAAGTCATTAAATTGCTCAGGCAGGGCTTGAACCTGCAATCTTTCTGGCTCAGCCTCCCAGAGTGCTAGAATTAAGGCACATGCTAATGGTTAAGTTTTCTTTGTCAGAGAAGGTTGAGACATTCTTCATAAAGTTGTTCATCATGGGTAAGATCTCAAAATGTCTCCAAAATACCTCACCAACTCGAGTAACTTCACAATTAACTTTCAAAACTTAATGATTCAATTATATATATTTTATCCATATTTTATATTTATACATATATTTGTTGTAAAAAGATGAAAATATGTTTGAAATGGCAGATGAAAATTAATACAATGAGAAGAATATACTTTTGGCCTCTTTCTTTCTAAGGCTATTTTTTTTTAAACTTTATTCACCTGTGATGCAAAAATCACTGTTTTCATGGTTTCCTTAAGCACTGGGTAATTTAAACTGTCAGTGTTCTTTTGCTGTCTTATGGCAAGTGCTTATTATGGTTGACTAATGTTCTTCATGGAAATTCAACCTCCAGCAGTTACAGTGTTGGGTTCCCTACCTCAGGAAGATCAGCCACACAGACCTGCCCTGCTCAAGAGTGAGGGCAATTAAGAAAACATTATCCAATGCTTACAGGAAAGCACTGTTAGCACCTCAATCCTAGGGTGTTTTGAGGGGACATATCCCCAATTGGAATGCCACCAGAAGCATGGGACCTTCAGACACTGCCAACCTGCTAACATTAAATTGCTCCTGGGCTATTTGATGGAGCCTTGGTGTACCTGCCAACTCCAAGCCAATGGAGATCCTCTTCGTCTTGAAGGCTGGTTGTGTCAAAGTCACTTGTACTCAAAAGTGGTATTGCCACTGACACATGAGTAGGAGGAATAGCTCATGGCAATCCACTGGGAGAAACCAATTTGTCTCTCCTTCAGAGCAGATGCTTTCTGGTTGCGGTCTTGCTTCTGCCTTCCTCTTGGGCTGACTACTACCTTGGTACAGTGGGACCTATTTTATTCTGATACATCACATCCAACCCCCACTGCTGTCATTGTCCAGCACTCACTACTCAGTGCACTCACTCTTGGAGAGCTTCAGCATGCCAGATAGACAATGTCAGATAACTACAGTGAATGGTCACCCACTTTTTATTAAATCTCAAGTCTTTGAAAGAAACCCAATTCTGGTCCTAATGATTTACAGCTCACGGCCAGTTCTTTAAATCTAGTCTCAGCCCTTGCAATAGCAGGCAGGTTCCCAGGTTGCCTGAACTCCTGCTGACTCCTCTGGCACTGCTGGCCTGCTTTTTGCTCAGCCCTATCCTCATGTCATTGTCCCAAAATTTATTCCCCATTCCTGATTGAACCTCTCCCTTCCCCTGAGCCAATTCACCTGTTGGCTGAGCCCAAACTTCAGGCAAAGACATTTGTCTATACTCACTAGTTGTATGTGCGTGACTCAGCTCAAACCCCACTTCCTTCATGAAGTTTTCTTCAATTTCATACAACATGAAGTGGGATTCCTCTTGCTCTCAACTTCCCCCTAGGTTCTAAGGCCTAGGATTTTGTTTACCTCTTCCTCTCATGGGACTCATCACAGTCTGTCTGGAGAGATCCAATGATGCATGTGTGCCTACGATGCCCTATTAAGCACACAGGGAATGGAAGGCTTCAGCCCAAAAGCATAACTGTTGCCAGTTCTCTGGAGCCTGCCTTGTAAGTGTTCAAGCCCCTCTGCTTTGGTGTTCCATGGGGGCCAATTCGCCTATCCCCCAGCCCTGGCTGGACTCAGCAAGCCCTGCCATTGACTGTCTCTGGCCTGGCCCACCCTCACCTTCACAGAAGATTGGAATTATACTTAGACCTCAGCCTCCTGCCCATCTTGGCTGCCTTAGTCCTGTCTCAGCTCTGGCAAGAAAGCTGTCCCTCCAACCTACTGGATCACACATTTCTTAAGGACAGAAATCATGGTTTCATTCTTATTTTGTCCCTCACAGAACTAGTTTCATACTAGGAGCAAAACAACAAATAGTTTTCTTTTTTTTTTTGCACTTTTTTAGCCAGTGGAAGTCCCAAGTGCCTTGTATTAATTAGATCTTGCCTTATATAAGATATATTACTTCTCATCTTTGGATAAAGACATTGGGTTTTATGCACATCCTCCAATTTCTCTTAATTTTTCCAAACATGCACAGATTTCATGAAAAGTTTTACAAATAAAGCATAAGCCTACCTGGACAAGTAGAAGGAGGTTTGTGTCTGGTAAAGGAGATTTGAGCTTTAGGGCCTGTAGAAGTTCTAGAACAACACTGCGAGATAAGTAGAATTTATCTCGTTCCTAAATAAAACAAAATAGAAGAGGTAAGCAATTTTAAAAATTCAATTAGCACAGATCTGCCAAGTTCCCAAAAATTCATAGATCAGAAATAAAAACATTATTTAAAAATGTACTGTAGGTTGTCCTTAAGAAATAAAATTAAAACTACAAAGAAAAAAGACATTTTTGTGTGAATAATAAATTTATTGAAGAAATGAGAATACATAATTTTACAAATAAGAAAACAGTATCTCTTAAGTATTAAAGTCACAGCTTTTATTTCCACAAGGGATAAATTCAAAGAACTATGTCAATTAAACAAACCTACAAGTATTTTTTACAATACAAAATTATTTAGAGAGAAACATGTACAACTCTTTAAAAAGTTTCACATCTTATCCAAGGAACTCCCTTTTTGAATGGACTATTTCAAGCATATAGAAAAAAGAGCATGGAATATATTATATACCTACCACATCTTTGTTAAATCTTATCATTTTGCTTTATTTGATTAATCCTTTTTTTAATAATAAGTAAAACATTACTGAAACAATTAAAGATACCTATCTAGCATTTTCTTATTTCTCCCTTCCTCCCTTCCTTTATAGTCACTATTCTGAATTTATTATTATTTTATGTATTTTTACACTTTGACTACAACTACAATGGTAATTTGGAAGTTTCTGTTGTTGTTATTTGTTTATTCTATAGTACTGAAGATGGAATTTAAGGCCTCTCACATGCTAGTCAAGCAGTCTACCACTGAGCAACATCCTCAGCCCCACTCTGACTACCTATGTGCATCTCCATTATAACATTTAATATTGTCCTACCTGATTTTTTAAACTCTCTATATTGGTATCATATTATGCATATTTTTCTGCAACTTGAAATTATTCACTAAGTTATGCTCTTAAAACTAAACCCTATTGATAGATGTGTCTTTAGTTCTTTCAACAGCTTGTTGTATGAACTCAACTTATTGTATAAACATTCTTGATCATTCTTCTGGTTGCTGATACATTAGATTGGTTTCAATTCTGTAAGCCTTTTTATTATCAAATATATGCACATGTAGAAAAGTACACAAAATATTAAATGTACAGTTAAATGGATCAAGTTGGATTTAGCACTCCTGAATTCACTACCCAGAACAAACAGCAACACATGCCAAATACCTTAGAAGGCTTTGTGTGTCCTTGTTGATGCTCTTATAAGTAAGTAACTGGAGTCTCTGCGGGTCTGTATTCACTCTCTTTTTTTCCCCCCTACTTACTGCATCTCATTTCCTTGTAGTCTAGTTATTGTTGTACACTAGATGATTTACGTAAAAAATTATTTCTAGAAATAATTTGCAACCTGAAATGGTATTGTTTTTCAAAGAGCTTTATATTTGTTTCTCCCAGGTGCATAATGTCGGACCAGGGTTATCTTAATTCATGTGCAACAAGCTTTGTAATATCTCAGTTTGGCTCACCATAGGACTTGACAATGTGTAGTAGTGTATATATGGAGGCAAGTCCACTTCCATGTTATCTTTATTGTGTGGCTCCAGCCAAAAGCACATGGGTCAGAGGGTGTGGTATCAGAGTCCACTCTATTTGTAGGTCCTAGATTCTGACTTGTGTCTTCCTAGTCTCACGCAGTTTCCAAAACTGCAGCTCAGCCTCTCAGCCACATCTTCTAGACTGATAAACACTTCCAGGGCAAAACTGGCCTGCAGTGCTAGTCTCACACCTCTGCAGATCCTGGCCTTGTAATTTCTGTGTATCTGACTAACATTTTGATACTTTTAAGAAATTTAGTGCTTGCTTAGGCAGCACATAATACTAAAATTGGAACGATATGGATAAGATTACCATGGCCACTGTGCAAGAATGACATGCAAATTCGTGAAGTGTTCCCTATTTTTTCAGCTCATAACGCTAAACTACACAACACAACTTCTATGTTGGATTCTAAGTCCCTTGGACCTTCTTATCCTCGTTGGGGGAGGCTATTACTAGTTCCTCCCAGGGGAAACACTTGTTGGCTATATTCACAGCAATCCTGCTGACCTTATAATTTGGCCCATGTATTCTTAACTGTTTCTTTGGCTTTGTCTCCTCCAGACTTAAAGCTATACAGCTACCAAGATGACAATGCGTGGCACCTATCAAGGCCTTTAGATAGATCCTCTGTAGAGTAACTCTGACTGCTGATCACAACTACGACCCTCTTTGGCTGAAAGTAGCCAGAACAGTCTTCGCCCTGTGCCCCCCTTCACAGCAGTTAGGGGTACTTCTTCAGAGGGGGGAATATTGCAGATAGGTAAGTTAATTAGATATCTTGTAGGCAGTTAGACAGGGCTAGCCCACGAGGAGCCAACATGGAGGACAGTGAAGACACAGTCACTGAAGGCCAGCATTGTAAAAGAAGAGAAACTACCACATCCATGTAGGATGAATAGCAGTGACTGATATCCTAAACAGGTGTCAATCACCTGGGCAGGGGGTCAAGGTCTTAACCCAGCCTTTCCGGGAAATATCCCTGACCCACCCTTAGTGAAAATCCTTGTATGCTTGCTATGTGACTTGCTCCCTCATTTGACCCCCATTTAATCAATATTATGTGGGTGACTGTACTTATATCTTATTGCTTGGTCATGGTTTTGCCCCACCTCATGCCCACCTTGTGAATTTCCATTGGGTCTTATAGTTTTGTCCCACTTTGTACCCGCCTCACCACATGGCTTTGCTGTATAAAACATCCTTGAAAAGTGGGGTGGGCGGGCAACCCACTTTCTGGTCCCCCTTCTGTCTCTCTTAGACAGAAGCTTTCTTTCTCCCAATAAATTTTTCCTACTTTTAGAAAAAAAAAAAAGAAATTTAAAGAAAATATTCTGCATACTTTCTAAAAACTTTTTTTATGTTGTGGGAGGATGGGTTTAAATTATGTAACCCACCATTATTAGAAGAGAAAGTCCAGGATTTTTACTGGAATTATTCAAATTCATAGATTACTTTGAAAGAATTAGCTATCTTTATTGTACTGGGTCCTTATCTTTGAAAATGAGATCTGTCTCCATTTACTTCAATAAAATGTTCTGATTATTCCCATAATGTTCTTGCACATTCTGAGTTTATTTTGTTTGTTTGGTACCAGGGACTGAACTCAGGACCTTGTGCTTGCAAGGCAGGTGCCAGAACCACTGAGCTAAATCCCTGCCCTCTGAGTTTATTTTTTGTTGCTACAATATATGGCATCTTCAAAGTACATTTTATGATACTTTGTAGCTAAACATTAATATAGGTGATTGGGGGTATGTGCTCGCATCAAGCATCCTTGCTAAACTAAAAAGGTGTCTACAGATTCTCTTTGGTTCATTGGTAATCACATCATCTATGAGAAATGAGAGTTGCGTTCTTTTCCCAGTCCCTCTACTGCTGATTTCTTCCTGTCTCGCTGAACTGAGCAGAGCCTCTAGCACTACAATAAAGAGAAGAGTTACATGGCAGTCTTGTATTTACAATTCTAAGGAGACTATTGGCATTTTACCCTTATACATAATGCTTGCTAGAGGTTTCTGATAGATCTCCTTTTATAAGTTAAGGAAATTCCTTTCTGTTCCTAGTTTGACAATAATTTATGATAAATGAGTGATGAATTATAAAGAGTGCCTTTCTTGCATCTGCTGAAATAATGACACTGGTTTTGGTCCTTCGATGTGGTGACATTAATGGTGACATTAATAGATGTTCTAATATTTAAACCATTGTTACACTTCATGAAAATCCCAACTAGATCATGAGGCTCTATTTTTAATGCACTGATTTGGTATTACTCATTCCGAATTTTTTTCATGTATGAAAAACATTGGCCTATAATTTTCCTTTTCTTCATTGCTCTTGTCTGGTGAGTATCAGGATTCTATCGGCCTCATAAAGTGTGTTGGATAGTGTTCCTTTTTCTATCCTAATAATTTATATAAAGTAGAGATCAGTTTGTTCCTAAATGTTTATAGAAGTTGTCTCTAAAGTTGCAATGGTGTTTGTAGTTAGGTTTTTAACTACTTTGATTCCATTTTTAATCATTTAAGTCTAGCTGATTTCTTCTTTTTCTTTTTTCTCTGATTGTTGCATATTACAATTTTTTAGAAAAATGTCCTGTTGTCAAAGATTTCAAGTTTATTATTATAAAGTTGGTCATTTTAAAATCTCTAATACACAGGCTGGGGATTTAGCTCAGTGGTTTCGCAAGGACCTGAGTTCGATCACCGGTACCAAAAGAAAAAAAATCTCTAATACACCTGTAGTTACATTTCCTTTTTCATTGCTGATGTTTTTTATCTGTACCTTTTGTTTGGCATTCTTTGTCAGTCTTGCCAAAGTTTTGTCTGTTTTATTAGCCTAATCAGAGGGTCACCTTTTGAGAACTTGGGACACAGCTCAGTTGTAGAGCACTTGCCTAGCATGAGTGAGATTCTAAATTTGATCCCCAGCACTGAAAATAATAATAATAATAATAATAATAATAATAATAATAATAATACCACCTTTTGGTTGTTCTGCTCCCCTATTTAATGTTTTTAATTTAACTAGTTCCTGCACTTATTGTTATTATTTCTTTCCTTAAAATTTCTGCAGCTATCCTGTTATTGTGACTTAAGTTGATTTGTTTGGTTCATTTACCTTTTCTTTTTTTCCAATAAAAGTATTAAGATGATAGATTTTCATCTAAATATCTCTGTTGCTTTAACTGTAAAAGTTTGGAAGGTAGTATTGTTGAGATAGGATCTTATTATGCAGTCCAGGTTGCTCTTGAAGTCACTATGTAGCCCAGGCTAGCCCCAAACACAATCCTCCTGTCTCAGCCTCATGGGATTACAGGCATGCATCACCATGTCCAGCTGTTGAAGATATTATTTTTTGGTTATTGTAAATATTTTTCTAAAATTTCTTATATTACTTTGACCTTTGAATTACTTACAAGAATATTTTCATTTCCAAATGTAGAAGACTACAAACACTATTCATATGAACTAAAAAGAATACACACACACACACACACACACACACACACACTTGCAAAACTTGAAGAACTCTCAGTTTTTAGGGCTCTGGCATTCAACAGCCCTGACTGCACGTATGCACATGATGCACCCTCACACATTCACACACACCCTCAATGCCTCCTCACACACTCTACAAACACTCCACCCTTGCAGATAAAGTAACTGGACAGATTCTGATGAGGAGATAAGATTCATACATTTGTAAATAGGGGAAAGTCAAGAGAAGAATCTCAAAACCTGCTGGGATGTAGTTGCAACAGGGTATAGTTGTGTACCAGTGATGTGCTCATGTATACTCTTCCCCAGGTTTGCAGGGTGCTGCAACCTGATGTGGCTTTATGTATGAGGACCCTCTTTCAGATGCTCTAGAACTTAACTGGAAGCCAAATGTCTACACCAGCCTCAATATTCAATAAAATTTGTATATAGAAGATGTGAATGGTGTCCCTCTAGATGTCAAGCCCTTATTTAGGCCACTTTTGAACATTATATGCAATAATGGTTTTCTTATGGATTTACAATTTAATTATATTGGGATTGGAGAATCTGGTCTCATGGAAACCAACTTTATAGTGTGTTTTAATTTGTGGCCTGTTATTTACTCTGAATTTTAAAATGTTCCATGTTTTTAAAGTATCTTCTCAAATTGGTGGATTCAAAACTCTTACATCATTGTGTTGTTCAGATCTACTACAGACTTAATCATTTTTCATCTGCTTGATCTATCAGTCACTGGAATAAATCTCAAATCTCTCAGTATGATTGTGAATTTGCCAATTTATTTTTGTAGTCCTAATTTTTATTTAATATATTTGAGGCTATATTATTAGCTCTATGGAGTTTTAGAATTGTCACATTTTCTTGATAAATTTTTCCTTTTATCAATATGTGGTGACTTTCTTTATGACATGCTTTTCAATGTAAAGTCAATTTACTGACTATAGCTTTCTTTCATTAGTATTTTCTTGGTGTATCTTTTTTCATCCTTTATCTTTATTTCAAACTTTCTCAGTTCCTTTAGATGTGTCTTTTATAAATATCATGCAGCTCTATTTTTAAATCCAATCTGACAATCACACATGAGTCTAGTACTCTTATATTTATTATGATTATTGAACTTATTATGATTATTTGGAACTTATTTTTATCTTATTTGATCTTATTACAGCTGTAATTCATTTTGTACAGCTTTCTCTAATTCTTTTTGTCTTGACTGAATTTATATTTCCATTTTATTCTTTACTTGTTTGGAATTTACACATGTATTTATAACCTTATGAGATTCACTTAAGAAATTTACATGTATTCTTTTTTTTTCTGCCCTGGTACTAGGGATTGAACTTAGGACCTTATGTTTGCAAGGCAGGTGTGACGCCACTGAGCTAAATCCCCAGTCCCTACATGTATTCTTTTTTTGGTACCGGGGATCAAACTCAGGACCTTGCGCTTGTGAGGCAGGCGGTGAACCACTGAGCTAAATCCCCAGCCAGTCTGGTCCATTTTTTTAAATGCCTAGATATCTTTCTCTGCTTTTTACATCATGTGTTTTTTATATCATATGCTTATCATTTGATGTATCTTTTGTAGCCTCTATTTCAGTTTTCATATGGGAAGTTCTTGGGGAAAATAATCTTGCTGTTTGTTGACTTTGTTAATCTAGTACATAGTGGGTTATTTTCCTCCTTTTCCTCCTCCTCCTCCTCTTCCTTTTCCTCTTCTTCTTCCTCTTCCTTCTGGTAATTTTAGATTTCAAGCTCATGTTCATCAGGATTTTAACTGCAAAAATATTGTTAGAACTCAGTGGAAAACATATTCCTCAAGAAAAGTTTGAGGCTTGTGTTTGGGCTTGCTTCTATGAGACATTCCAAGGCTCAGTACCAATAACTTGCTCAGCATCAGTGTTATTCAACTTTTCAGGTTGGAGGTTCCCAGACCATGAAGGTATTATAAATCCGAACTCTAAACTTTTCAAAGATAGGCCTGTTTACCAATTCTCAAGAAAGACTACAATTATTCTACAGCTCCCAGGCTGAGACAGATGTCATTTCTTCTCATCCCCATATTAAAAATATATTCTTTCCAAACCACCCTTTCACCAAATGTGTACCCTTTCAAGGGTTCTGATTTTTCTGCTGAGGATGACTCAGCTCCAACTCCCTGCCTAGAACATTCCCAAGACTTCATCTTCTTTCCTTGTGTGGACTTTAAAATTCAGCCACTGAGTTAGCAAGACAAAGGAGTTCTCCATCCCAGAATGCTTATATGCTTACTGCTCTGGTTCTCAATTTTCTCTTCTTTTTTGCCTTTTTCATCTTATAAAATCAGCTATATGTTTAAAATCATGTCTATACTATTTCATCCCGAATTCTACTTTTTTAACTGAGACAATTTTCAGATTATCCAGACTTCCAAAAAAGGAAGCCTCCAAAGGTCTTACTTTTCTATGCCTTTTCTTTAATTATAGAAGGGAGAAGCCTCAAAAAAGTTATTTATTAACTATTTCTAATAGTTTCTCATTATCTGTGAGGAAGATGGGAACATTCTGGATGGAAGTTTTCCATAAATAATAATCATTTTGGGCTGGGGATTTAGCTCAGTGTTGCCGCCGCCTGCCTCATAAGTGCAAGGTCCTGAGTTTGATCCCCAATACCAAAATAAAATAAAATAAATAATAATAATCATTTTATAATGGAGAAATGAAGGAAGGGTAGATGACAATAGGAAATGAGAGGCCACTAAAATTACAATGGAATATGAAAAGACAATCTATAATGAAACCATGAATATCTTCACTTCAGAATCCTGAGAGATCTCCTGTAATCAATACCTATAGTTTCCAACACATAAAAACTCATTGTGATTCTTTCTCCAAAACAAGATTAAATTTAAACAAATCAAACATAAAGACAATTAAATAAAATGCTAACAAAAATTAAATTCTTCTTACTGTATTTGGTGTTGTGTTACTTTTTTAAGTGAAAAAGGAAGAACTTATTTTTCAAGAAGGATGTGAAATAAGATTATCTTAATAGAAAATACATTGCTTCAGGCAGGGTAATAAATAGTTTGTAATTAGAAAGGTCAAAGAAAAAATTATCATGGCATATTTAACAAGCAGAATGGACACAAGTTGGAAAAAAAGAAGATGAGGGAGTTTTAACTAGGACAAAAGGCTTGTTATAAAATTACTTTATGAAGGAAATTAAAGGGCTTGTAAAAGTGAAAAACATGAATAAAGGAGCATTCTGAATATTCAAGAGGGAACAACGGAAATAGAGACTCCATTGAAAATAAACTTGGGAAATTTGAAAATTGAAGGGTATATGCATATTGTTCTTAAGTACAGAAATGCTCCTAATATGCCCTGCTTCTTGGTTTTCTAGTCACACTGTCTACGGATTCCAATACAGCTGCTGTATCTAAAGGGCAAGCAGTACTTTTCCACTTTCTCAGTTGTAGGGAAAGGGGCACTAAAGATAATTCAATAGAGGAGCCATGATTAAGGCAAGATGACAAAAGATGAGATTCTGATCTCAGAGGCCAAGAACCCAGAACTAGGGAGACAAACAAATGAGAATTAAGGCTTTTACAAATGACAAGCCAGCATTTTTCTATTTTGAATGGAAAATGATACATAGTGATGGCTTGCTCACTAATCATGGGATGGTAAACTTGAAAAAGCCCTTAAGAGGTCCATTAGACCATTAACTCAATCTGTTCAAAATACCTCTTGTCTTCTAAACTGTAAAATCTCCAAGTCTATATATTTTAGACACAATTCATGTATATATGTGTAAACTGTTTCCTTCCAATGATATGTATTAGACCTTAGCAGAATTACTCATTATTAACCATATTAAAACAATTAACATAACAGAGATTTGGGACTGATTAGAAAGAATATATTTCTGTTGGTTTTCAGTTTCATGAGAACATACACACAGGAACATACCTTAGTGAAAGCTCGGTAACACAAGCCACACAACTCCACCAGGTAGGCCAGAGTGAAGACAGCATTCTGAATTACAAAGCTAAGCAGTTTGGAGAATGGTTCCAACAAACTCTGCAATGAGATCGGGGCCAAATAAATTGCTGATTTATTCCTTTTAAAAAGTATTAAAGTCTTATTCACTTTAACTAATGGAAACATTCCTTTTTTTAAAAAATTTCAAATCTGTTGCCAGGTAGCTATTGTCCAATAAAAACAGAACTGCATATTCAATCAATGGCTTAAAGAGCATGATTTAATCATTTTATTGCTCAAAAATCCATTTTTCCATGTGACATAATATATAAACCTATCTAACTACAAGTATCCTATTCTCCTCTCCACCCTAAGCAGAACCTGTGAGGTTTGCATTGGGTTTTTTCTATTTCTCAGAAACTTGGGCATCTTTGGTTCACTAGAAACACACCCTCCAGAAGCCTGTCTTCCCAGTTAAATAATAGGAACCACTTGTTCTTAAGAATCCAAGTACTATTAGTTTAGATAAAAATCCAGCCTCCTGCCAATATTTACCAGGTAGATATTTGGTTTGGTCCATCTATTATGGTTTGAATTTGACATGTCCCACAAAACTCATGTCCTAAAGGCTTGGTTGCCAGCTGATGGGTATTTGGGGAAACGACTGGATCATGAGGATTTAATTTCATCAAGTGGATTAATCCATTGATGAACATAATTTGATGGCATTATTGAGAGATGATGGAAACAAGAGGTGATGCCCAGTACAAAAGAATGGATCATGGGGGGTATGACATTGGGGACTATATCTGATACCTGGATCCCTCACCCTCTGCCTCTCTCTGCTTCTGGCTGCCATGAGAGGAAGCTGCTTTGCTCTGCCACAAGCTTCTGCCCTGATGTTCTGCCCTAATGTAGGTCCACAGCAATAGAACTAGATAACCATGAACTGGAACCTCTGAAACTGTAAGTCAAAATAAATCTTTCCTCCTCTAAGTTGTTTATGTCAGGCATTTGCCACAGTGACAGAAAGCTGACTAACACACTATCTCAATCCTACCCATAAAGGGTCAGTTTCATTCCATATGCTTTCTTAAGTCATTTAGAAACATTTACTGAGCATCTACTAAGTATTAAGCAGAGTTTAATGCTTTCATAACACTTTATTTCATTTAAATTTCTTACAATTACCCTGGGAAACAGCACAATATATTACAGTTAATGATACTACCTGTCGAATCTGCGATACAAGTGTTTTCAAATTCTAGCTTTCTGTGACATTAAATAAATGACTTAATCTCTCTGAAACTTAGTTCTCTTCTCTGTAAAAAGAAGTACATAATGGCTTCTGTCTCCTTAGGATTGTTTTTAGAATTAAAGAAAATAATGTAAAGTACATAAAGATATAAGCAGCACTTGGCAACATAAGCCCTCCATCCATGTTAGCTACAGTCTTCTGTATCAATCCTCTGAAGAGTTAGCATCCCTTCAGCACCTGAGGTAGGTAAATAGTCCAGTAATTTGCCTAAGGCCATACAACTGTGGAATGAATTCAAGCCCAAATCCCAGGGAAATTTTCCAGAGGTATAATTTCTCTGTAGAGATGTAATCGGACTCCAAAAGACTCCCATGCCATGCCTTCCATTATTTTTCAACTTCTATAGTCCTTAGGGTCTGGATTATAAAAGCAATAAAAATGTGCAAAGAATATGTAGGAAAGTACTGAAGAGGAAATAAAAGTCATGCATAATCTCTCCCCTAGAGATAACATATTGATATATTTCCTTTCTTCATTGTGTACCAGTTTATTTGGCTGAAATCTAATGTATATACAAATAACACATTTTGTTTTAATAATAATATAATAAGAAATTTCCAGTGCTATTTCTTTGTAATCATCCATCCATTTTAATGGCCAAAAAAGTCACATTTTACTATGAATAACACCCCAATAAATATATTTTTGCATGAAATTTTCATTTTCTTACTTAGAATAGATTCTCAGAAAAACAAATTACTAAATCAAAGAATATGAGCATTTTTGAGTTTTTTTCTTTATTAATGGAAAAAAATGAATTCATTACATGTTAGTTGCTCCTGAGAATAAAAATTATGCTTTTCACTCATTTTCACTTGTGTACCCCACAGAAACCTATGTGATGCTTTCTATATAGAATATTAAAAAAATGTCTGTGTGGGGCTGGGGATTTAGCTCAGTGGCACCGCACCTGCCTCACATGCACAAGGTCCAGAGTTCAATCCCCAGTACCAAAACAAAAACAAAACAAAACAAAAAAACTCTTTGAATAGTAGGTTTGATTCAGTATTCTTTGCTCTGTATAAAGACTGACAATAGATGAATAGAGATGGGGATATGTCTCACATGGATAAATAATTCATCCTTATTGATAAAAAAAAAACCACCTGAATTCAAGACTACACAGAAACTTCTTATATCTAACAAACCAGCATGGTGATGGGGCAACAGGTACAAAAGTAAAATGAAGGAACTTGGACTCAAAGGGTCTTTGTATAAGTCTCAAATCTTCTACAAACTACCTTGGCCAAGACATTTCATTTCTCTGAGCCTATTTCCTTATCTGTAAATGAGCAGTTTGAGCCAAATAATCTCTTTGCAACTTTCTATCATAAACTGTGAGTTTATGGAAGCACAGTGAAGGTAAACAGTTACAGGTAACACAAGTTGTTGGTATATTAACTAGTAATTACAAGCTATTGCAATATACATGGTTGCACCATCGCATATAATGTAGCCCAGAAAGGTAGCCAGGAATACAGAAGTGAATGAGACACAGAACTGGACTTCTTGAAGCTCATAGTCTCACTGGGGAGGTTTCCAGACAATGTAAGTGCTAACACTTAAAGCTCAGGCAAGTGTTATGGGAACTGACACAGGAGGTAGTTGCTACAGATAGTATGAGCATTTAAAAAGATCTAAAAGGAAGCTTGAAGAATGAGAAGAAGTTCACCACACTGACAAGAGTAAAAGCATTACAAGCAAAGGCAATAATCTAAGCAAAAGCAAGGAGAGTGTGAAATTAAATAGATTATATATGTAAAGTTCTAAACACAAGGTCAGCCATAATGTAAATATTCAATAAACAGCAATTGTTTTTATAAGGATGATGATGCTGATTCTAAAAGTACATAGGAGCCATGGGGGATGGGACAAGCAGCCACGGACTAAATTAGAAAGGTGGTCTGGTAAGTAATGAAGTAATTTTTTAAAGCCACATTATTCTAAAAGAAGTGAGAAGTTATCGAATATTATTAAGCAGTGAACCAACACAATGAATTCTGTGTTTATAAGGATCACCTAGTTAGTAGCATGGAGTATGGATTGGTAAGCACGGCCCAGGACTAGGAGGAACAATTATAAACAATAGCACTGCAACATATTAGACACTGACCTAGCAAAAGGAGAGGAACAAATGGAAGTGGAGGCATTCAGTATGCAAGAACTATGTATGCAGTATTGCTACCTGCCTGTCTTTTTAGGTTAAAAATAACTAAATACCTAATTGGCCATGTTTGTCTGAAACATACATACCCTTGTAGCATTAGTAGAGGGTATCTTCAGGAGGCAGATCATAATTCTCAAACTGGAATCTAAAGAACACTGGGAACAAATATTAAAAAAAGTAGAAAGTCATTTCCCTTCTTCATAGATCTTTTACTTCAAATACTGTCTGTATTTATTTTAGCAAAAAGAAAAATCTAAAATATAATTATCTCTTTATGGTTTCTTATGCTATATATTCATGTTGAAAATAAGCATTCTCAAGTTAAAATTTTTAATAAAACAGTCGATTAAATAATATTAAATAATTAAATAATTAAACATAGCTCCTAAACTATTTTTCAAAGATGTAGCTATAGAATTAAATCATACAGAAATCTGGATAGAGAACTGGGTGGATAGATGGATGGATGGACACACAGGTAGATAGGAAGATAATAAATGTATCCAACTGTAAAGAGGTACACTAATTTGTGAAAGGTCATGTTGGAAAAAAACCTTAGATCTATTTTAAAAACATTAATCTAAATAAAAACTAGTTTCATTTGCTCTTTCTCCGTTGTGAAAAGACATGACCAAACCTGGGGGAAGGCAATAAAATTTCAACAAGAGAAAATCAATCATAACTTACAAGTCTACTAGAGTTCTATTCTGGCAAGTACATCAAAATATACTTTTTAAATTGAATTTACTTGGGTTGAAGAAAAATGTTGCAACAAGAATATATAACAGTATTATTTAACATGGTGAATATATCTCAAGAGGAGGCTACAATTCAGTTTCTGCATCTATGTATTATATAGCCTCTTTCAGATGGTGCCAACAAAGCCAGTGGTTCTTCAAGTGCAACCCTTGGATCCACAGCATGTATATTTCCTAGAAACTTGTTAAAGTGCCAGTCCTGAGGCCCCACTCTGTTGAATAAGAAACTCATGAATCAAGCCCAGGAATCTATGTTCTATCAAGTCTTTACGGACACAGATGCACACTTAAGTTTGAAATCCACTTCTCTAAATGGGCAGCAACAAACTATAGATCATTCAACAGCTTAATATTTTCCCCAGAGATTAAAAACAAAATAGAAACAATACCTTAATCTGCCTAGATCTGACCGAGCAGGGGAAAATTCTCACACAAATCCTAAAGGTATTTCACAAATGTCTTTTAAAGGATCCACTGGCCTACTTAATACGCTCGATACCCATTGGAGTTGATGCGACATTTACTTACTTTAAGCCAGGGGCTGCTCATCACCACCACCACCACCACCACCCCATCACTACCTATCAGTGATTTAAAATTCAGGAAATGTCATCATAGAAGATCTGGGAAGATCCAGGAGGCCTCATCACCCACATAACAATGATCAGCAGGTGGCATAGTGGCTGACCCCAGTTGTAGGATTGGTGCTTTCTAGTGCTTAGGGGTCTCAGTTCTCCTGTTATCTTACTTCACTCCACTTCACTCACTAGTCTGCAGGCACAGTCCCTATGGCCAGAGCTGACTTACACATTAGGCATACCAGTTGTTTACAGCAAGCAATACTTTCAAGTTAAATATCACAACTATCACATCTGCACATTGGCATCTGTAGCTGCCACCCTGCCCCCACTCCTTGTCTCAAGAGTATGACTCTCTTAGCAATGAACCCCCAGGATGACTCCCCCTCCAGGGAGGTTCTGTGTGTCCATGTTAAATGTGTGCCCCTGATTTTTTACATGTATATTTATAGCAGCTACATACATCCTTGATTTTAAAGTGCTAATCTTTCTTTCTTGACTTTATTCACCTAATCCAGTTTTGTGAGAGACTGAAGGAAGTGCTAAAGATCTTTCCTTTGTACCTCTGTTTGTTACTCAAAGCAGCACAAAGAAAACTAAGGGTCCCTGAATGATGGTCCTTACATTCCCTATTAGTAATATCTGTCAATTTAGCAAAGGTGGTTGATCTTCATAACATTTTACATATATACAATACTCATTTCAGAAATGGAGCTACCAACATGTAACTTCACTTGTCAGATTAACAAATGATTCACTGTGTTCCAATTTAAATACTTTCATCTGTGAAATGCACAGAGAAAGCACAAAATATCTAGTGGAGCTGCTGATCAAAGACACAGTAATACCACTGCTGACCACATCTTTTCTCCTTGTTCTAGAGACACAAATGCCTTTTCCTCATCCCTGTTTTAGAAGGGTATGAGGAGTCTTAGTGGAAAGAGCACTGGGCTGTGCCATAGAGGATTTGCGTGAGTTCTAACTCTTATTCTGCCACCACTGAGCTATTTAAGCAAGTAGCACCATCTCTCTGAATACAAAATCCCCCATATAGAAGATAGGGCCTGGGAAGAGTGAGTTTTACAAGTCTCTTTCAGCTTTAGCAGTGTAGTGTCTATGTTTTCATTTAATGGGCCCATGTTGGTACTAATCCTTGGACCACCGTTCTTTTCAGGTAAGTTACTATATGTGCATTCTTGCAAGGTAGTATGATATTGGGGGATAATGAGTCCAATAAAAATATCATCTTGGTCTTACAAGTACTTTATTCTCAAATAACAAGCAACCACTTCCCTTTAGATAATCTCTAAAATTAAAACTACATTATATGTCTGCACTTTCTTTAGACAAAACTATTAATTAATTAATTTAATATACACCTGAGAAAATTTCTAGCTAAACACAATCTAGTAATGTCTCCCTGATTTAAAAAAAAAGCAGCTAAAAAATGTGCAATCACAGAGCATATTCATATCAGTGAGCGAAATGCCCACTCCATATTGCTGTCATTTTGTAATATTTGAAAGAACAACTTGAATACTTCTCTGCACTCCATTGCAAATGAATCTTTTGGGATACATCATATCACACAAGACTGCTTCTTGTGTTGTTCTCTGTAAGCAAATGATCAGAAAGTAATTAAAAATGAAATCCTAGGCTTTGCTTACCTTTAGAGGTAAAACACAAGGCAGCTTGGCAAAAAATGTCTGAAACTGGTTGCTGATTGTGGTCCAGAGGCTACTAGGAGAATCCATGGGCAAAGCTTCCATGAACGTAGCAATGTTTTCCAAACAGCGTATCATAGCACCCCCTGCTGGTAAATTCTTTTTGTTATTTAGACCCTAAAAACACAAAAGCATAGGCAATCAAATGCTGAAAGAGTATGGGAATTCATTCAGATAGCTATTTGGTGGAGTCACTTTTAAAAATCACATATAATGCTATAAACACGTGGTGAGTGCCTACTATACAAGCCAATCTTTGTAATGGGCAGGGAGAAAATAGAGAAAATTTGACAAGTTCAAACAAACTTCAAAGGGAAGATTGATGATTTTTGAATCAATGAAAGGTGAAATGTAAGCAAGAAATAAGAAACATCTTTTAAGGATCTAAAACTGGCATAGTTCAGTTCTAAGAAGACACATCATATGATGCTAACTGGAAAGAATTGTCCAGCCCAAAGAAAGGAACTATAAATTACAAGAGCAACAGCTTTCCTTCTAGCAAAATACTAGCTAACAGTGACAGCAGTGGAGCTGAGACTTGAACCCTAGTCTCATGTAACAGTGTATAAACAGTGGAGCCAAGGCTGGAATCTCAATCTCTCAATACAACACTCCTCTGTAATTAGGCAGTAGAGGGTCCTGGAATGCAAGTCTCACCAAAACAGTATGTACTGCTCCACCCACCGTGGCTCATTTCCTAAGTCCAAAGGACAGTTCTGTGGAGGTGAGTTTTCAACCCGGCATCCAATACTTAGTTGAAAGTGTCTAGAAGCTTAAATGAATAGTAAATCCATACAAAATTTAAATCAAAATTTTAAGTTAATGACTGGGTTTCTCCCTCAGCAGTACTGTATGGAGTGACATTTCAGCTGGGGCATGGGGTATTATTACAGCAAACCTACCTCTAAGAGCTGACTGAGAGCAGCAATAGAGCTCAACTCATTGAAGTCCATGAGAGATGTGGCCAAGGTCCGTAAAAAAGTTCCATCTGCCAAGTGAACAGTCAGGTTTAGTAGTGTTCCAGTTTCAGGGCCTAGCCAGGTTTGTGGTGTCTGGACCCTCTGGGCGTATTACCTTTGATGGTGCTCTGGAACAGCTGCGGGAAGATGCCGTTGGGGGCCAACTGATGGAAGATGCAGCGCAAGAACTGCTTGGCCACCCCTGCTGCATTGCCAGGGACCATCATGCTGTGTTTGAACAGGGAAAGAAATAGCATGAGAAGTCACAGGCCAATGAGCATGCATTTTTTTCAGAGTCTAGGCATTTACATCCCAGTCTTCTTATGCAACATCTCATTGTCATTTTCATCAGTGAGTTGAAACAATCTAGCCAAGCCTAATTCCCATTAACAATACATTTTTTTAGAGAAATCCATGAAATGTCAAAATGATCTCAGACTTAGTCACAAAATATATAGGAAGGTTCCAGGGCCTCAGAGGAAAAGGAGACCTTCAAAGGTCACAGGTCCAGAGCAATCAGAATTAGAACTTTGTATGAAGGTTATCAGCAAGATCCTCCCAAGAAAATGTATTTGGCTATTGGGAGAACTGTTCTGAGGAAAACTGCAGTAAGGGAGATGTTCATTCCCATTGGGAGATCAAGGAAATTTTCTTGGGGGTATCTGAGCTGGTACTTGTAAAAAGGCTAAGACTTTTATAGGTTCAGTTTTCCCTTCATCCACTATACACTTAATGCATGTCAAAAAGGAGAGTCAAAAAAACTTTATGTGGTCCTGTTTCTTAAACCAAGGCACCAGAAGGGCCAGGGATTTAGCTCAATGTTTCTGCCGCCTGCCTCATAAGCGCAAGGTCCCAAGTTCGATCCCCGGTATCAAAAAACAAAACAAAACAAAAAAACAAGATACCAGAAGACAGATTTTCTGAGGGATAGGTCACCAGAAAGAAGAAATCAGAACCCAAACAGATAAAGGATGAAAAGTCCCATTGTTTAATTATACCAATTATTGCCACCATATGCCATGCAGACGCTGAAATGCTGGAATAAGACCAAAAATCTTATTCAGGAAGAAATAACTTAAACTTTACAATAACTTTCAGAAAACAGAGAAAAGACCCTTTTCCAATTTGTTTCATGAGGCCAGCGTATCCCTAAAACTAAAATCAGATAAAGCCATTATCAAAATAAAACATAGAAGAAAAATTTTAAATTGGAAAAAGAAAAGACCAATATTCCTCACAGACATTGAATCCAACTATAGATTAAAAGAATGGTACATCACAAGCAAGTAGTTTGTCTCAGAAATGTAAGAACAGTTTAATATTCAAAATTCAATGGATATAATTCAATATATTAAAAAATAAAGTAAAAAACCTTTTGATTATTTCAATATATATAGAAATTACATTCAACAAAAGTTCAGCATACCCTCAGGGCTTTAAAAAAAACCAAGAAGCTGGAAATAGAAGGAAACATCCTTAATTTGCTAAAGGGCATCTATGAAAAACCTATAGCTAATATAACTAATAATGAGATATTTAATATTATCTCTGTAAGATAGGGGGAAAAAAGCAAGAATGTCTATTCCCACATCTCTGTTAATGTATCAGTCATTTCAATAATGTAATAAAAAGAAAAGGCCAAAGTTGAGAAAGGAAGTACCAAAGCTATTACTGTTTGCAGATAATGATGTTTTCCCATAGAATAGCACATCCTAAGAAATCTATAAAGCAACTTTTAGAACTAAGAAATGAATTTATCTAGGATACAATGTTAGTACACAAAAGTTAATTTATATTTATATACTAGTAGCAAGAAGTTAAAATGAAATTTTTCAAAATTCCATTTATTTTTTTACAAAACAAAAATTTCAAGAATAAATTTAACAAAGATGTATTAG